TATATTTTCTATAATTTATGTAGATTTCAATATTACGCTCAATTGAATTGCACTTTTGATTTCAATAATTCGCTCAATAGTTATAATAAAAATATATCTAAATAAATGATAATAAAAAATGTTGTGCACAGAAAAATAAAACTAATTAATTAAATTTTTTTCTAAACTTATTATTATTTCTTTATAATTTTGAAGACATTTTTTAATTATAAAAATCAATAAATAAATATTTTTTGTTTATTATTCTTATAATTTATATGATTATAATATTGTAAATATAATTAATTAATATAAATTTTCATAAATCCTACAAAAAATATTTTGTTGTTTTTTACATACAGTCTTTAAAAATTTTTTATTTTTTAGATTAATCTTTTATTTTTTACTAATCATTTGTCAAATCATTTTGTTATATTATAGATAAAAGCTAATAAAAATTGCTAAAATAGTTAAGATAGGATCGCATCAAATGAAATAATTTAGAAATAAAGTTAATTCAAAATTAACAGAAAATTATTTTATAAATTAAGATATGATATAAATATTATTACTAATAAGGGGTTTCCAACTCTAGATTTATTTATTATAAAAATATGTTTCACTTATAATAATATTGTTAATTACAATATTGTATATATTATAATAAATGTTAGACAATATATTATAATTAATCACTATTGAAATGAAGGAGTTATGAATTTTCAATTTAATTAGTATATATCACACAATTATTGTAGTATTACTTATAAATAAATATTTAAATAAATATTTATTATTAAAACTATATGATTAATAATTTAACACATTGTATAATGATTTGTTTGAATTATAGTTTTTGATTATATTGTATATTCATATAAAGTAAATAATCAATAATAAAAAGGGCTGCTCTACACTATAACACCATTAAGTGTCTATTCCTATACAATGTTACTGAAAATTGCAACAAATACATCATTTATTTTAACTATTTATTTTTATTTAGTTAATATAAGTCTAGTTTTATAATTAATATTATGCTTATGACTCAATTAGATGTGTATTTCACTTAAATTAGGTTTAGTTTGCGTTATCAAACACTTGATTAGGTAATGCGGTCCACAATATTTCACGGCTATTATATTAATAGTTAGTGACCAGTGGTGGTCATCAATAGACAAATCTGTTTAATTGATTAAACATAATCTTAATTATAAAACTAAACTTAAATTAACTAAATAACAAATAAATAGTTGAATGAGAAAATGATTTATTTGCTGCAATTTTCAGTAACGTTGTATTAGAATAGACACTTAAAATGTAWACCAAATAAATACATTTATCATATAATCTAAGAATACTATATTAATAAAATTATACATGAATTTTGATTTTGGTTAACTTAATTTAATATTAATATAACTATATATTAAATGTAAATTGCRTAMCATATCTAACACACATACATACAAACATATTACTAAAGATTTAGTATTTTTGTTTTTAGGCTAAATTAAATAAACAAATTACATTATAAAAATATTATCTAATAATATAATTAATATTAATTGCTATTTCTGAATAATTATAAAAAATAATAATATGTTTTTCTTGAGTTCACTAGACATTTGATATCTTATATAATATTTAATTAAAATTACAGTCTAATAATACTATCAATTGTTAACCATATTAACGGTTACATTATTACTCCATTTACTAATATAAATACTAATCAACAATCCTAAGAAAAAGTGATTCAAATAAATCTATTAATGTATTACTAGTATATAATGAAACAAATTAAGTAAAACGTAGACATGTTTTATGATATAAATAAAAAAATATAGTCTATTATAGCAATTATAAGATATACACTATTAGATTAACAAATGTTAATAAAATATTATTTAGCGTTGTTTTCTCAAATATTAATTAATTTAATTAAAAATTTCAATCAAACTTAAGTAAAATTTCAATGTTTTTATTAAAATAATTTTATAACTTTAAATTGATATATGCAGTTATTATAATCAATTTAGAAAATTTAAACATATAAATTTTAATGATCTAACATTGTTATTCAATGTTTTAGATAATAAGTATTTTAGCATTATATTGAATAAAGATTGTATCATAGTTTAAAATAGCAAATTAATTGTATGTTAARCAAAATTTAATAATATATTTTATATATAATTGTAAACATATGCCGAAATCAAAGAACTAATTATAATAAATTATTTATTATAATTTTGTTTATTAAATCTTATATTATATAAGTTGTATAAAATGTTGTTCACAACTATACATCAAAACTATTTAATTCGTTAATACAAAATGTTGTAATACATATAATTTACAATATAATCAGTTTCCTAATACGATCCCAATTAACATAGTATTGTTAGGAAACAATCTAATCGTATGTATAGATACTTGAAACTATAATCTGATAACATATAAAAAGCTAATATAAATAATAATAAAAATTAAAAAAAAACAAAAAAGTTATATTTAAAAAACTCCATGTTATATTAATATATATATATTATAAATTATACTATTTAAATATAATTATAAATAATATAACAATTATTAGACATAAGAGTCATTAAATATTAAATTGTTAAACAAGTTGTCAAAAACTATTTGATTTCAACAATTGTAATATTTATATAATTAATTGAGTTATGTATGCAAATAAATTTAAATTTATTAATGTCATATTTAATATAAAGTATTTACATTAACTACTATTTATTAGTTATAAATAAATTAATGAAAATATATTAAATATAAATTAGTTATAATTTTATTTTAGAAATATAAACTATTTATTTGTTAAAATTAAAATGTTTATTTTGTTAATTTACCTACTGTTAAGTGAACCTACTAAGTATTTTTAAAATTAGTATAAGATCTAAAATTATTTTATTTTATAATTGATACTAAAAATAATTTAAGTTAAAAAGTTTAAATATTTTTTAGGTACAAATTTAGTTTTTTCTAACAAATTTTCTAAAGATTAAAATTATAATGTTGATTTTAATTTCAAGTCTATCGCCCACACATATCATATTTAATAATAAATGAATCAATTAGAGATGGGCAAATAGAAAGTTTCTAGAAACTTTCTAGAAACTTTCTCATAAAAAAATTTCTATAGAAATTTAACTTTAATGTTATTCTATGGGATCCCCATATCTATAGTTATTGTAATACCAGTATTTTAATAACATATAATACTATACATATAATATCATACAGTATAGTATAGTACTATACAAAATGGGATACCTATATATATATAATAATTATAAATATTTAATAATAATCAGTTTTGTAAAATTTTATTCATTTTATTATATAAATCATAGTTTAATAGTTTAATTAATTAATTTTTTATTTTAATTAATAATTAAAATAATAATAATAATAATAATAATATTTAATGTATTGTTATATGATAGCAAATATCGAGATAACAAAATTAACCATGGGGATCCCATAGATAGAAATTTCTTTTAGAAACTTTCTAGAAATTTCTCTATTATTTTATAAATTTCTTCTTTTTGCCAACATTAGAATCAATACATTATAAACATTAGATATCAAAATAATATCAATATCTATAATACAGTAAATTTTTTAAAAAGATATAATCGTTTTATAAATATATAAATAAATATATTAAAATATAACATATAAATATATATCTTATATAAATAAATTTACTTTTGACTATTAATAACAAAAAAAACTTATCGAAATAATAATATTAACAATAATATATCTTTTTTTAATTTTGTAAATATRCTATATTTATTATATTTACAAATTGTATGATTTATAGAGTACGAAAGTAAAAGTAAATTCAATAATAAATTTTTTACTTTTATCTATACAAATAATATCCATATTAGAAACAAATATAATAAACATTTAATGAAATATTGAGATAAAATTAAGAAAAAACTTTAGGCAAACATTGTTTTTATCGATAAATAAGTCATTTTTTAGACTTAAAATTATAATTTAATATTACTAATAAAATGTTTTTTAAAACTTGATATAATGATATACTATTGTTAATAAAATTGAATAAACAACGTAGGTGTATTTACGTTGGTATAAATATTAAAACATTTAATGTTATTTAATGTTATATGTTGTTGTATTAAATTATTAGAATAAAATTGAATAATTCATTATTTTATTCAAAAATAATAACAAATATTTTATAATACTTTTTATTACACAAATTTTTATTTTTGATTAAAATAACAGTTAAAATTACCAAAAATTTGAATACAACATAATTTTATATTTTGGCAATTTTATATGGTAAACCTTTATAATTACTGTTAAAGTAATGTAAATTATAAAATTGATTTTATTTATTAATTGATAATTTAATTATTTACATAAATTATGAAGTTATGTGTGAGTATTTTAAATAATTTTTATTTTATTTTGTTGATTACTAAATATTATTAAATATTGTATTCAAATTATTGATAGTAATTAAAATATAAAATTATATTAATTTCATATTATGCTTAGTATTTATATTTAGATTTAAATAAATGATAAAATATTATAAATAAAGAATTAATTTTGTTTATCATAAAATATAAATTATTAAAATTATATTACAATATTACATATTATTTTGTTATTATACAAATAATTATCTAAATATTTTTTAATCAATAACCATCATTTAACATATCAATATAATATGTTTTGAATAACTTTATTGTTGTTGTAAAGTAAAAAAATATAAATAATTATTATCACTTAAGTAATAAAAAATATATTTATAAATATTTAGAAAATTTGTGACATTTATTATAAATACTATATAGATATAATTAATATACAGTATATATTAAAATAGTAATAAAAAAATTATCGAATTAGACTCTAAATTCAATATTTATTATAAACATTAAGTATAAAAAGTTATTACTTATTATTTAATTATTAATTTTATAGTCAATAAAGTAAATATATGACTATTTGTGGTAGATTTAAGTGTGTTTTTAGTTAAAAAATAAGAATGAAAATTAATATATTTGTTAAATTTTTGTTAAAATTATATTTTATATATAATAATGATTTTATAAAAGTAGTGGCAACTGATCTTAAATTGTCAACAAATATAAACCAAACTAATGATAGTAAGTGTAGTGCAAAATCGGTCATAAACTATAATGATGTCGACAGTACCGGAAAATGTGAAAACAGTATCAATAGTACAACTACGGGACAAATAAAATATAATGAATCGATGATGAAAACTATTAAATTAATGGATAAAAATTATCAAAACCTGCAAAATGTTTGGCGTAAAGTAACAGTAAATATTGAACCAATAGATAGAAGATTAAGGCTTACAATTGATGGGTTCATATTATCATTGAATTTATCGCATGAATGCCAACAATCATTGTATCGGATTGCAGATGGTATTCAAAATAATCAATTGTGGGCTTTTCAATGTAWGTCATCATTTAATTTTACATTAAATCTAATATATAAATATAAATATTATTTTTAATTATATATCAAATAAATCKAAAAATAGTAAATAACAGATTTAACCTATTTATAAATATATACTGTTTTATAAATTATTTATTTTTTAATATTTATAAATAAATAGTTTTTGATGCCTCTGGAAAACTAGCGGCCGGTTTGACCCAAGGAGTTATCACCAGTTTTGGTGATTATGACCAGTGTTTGCAAATTAAAAGTCCCGATAGTAATGGGAACCGACACACAATCTATGGAAAGTACTGTTTGGTTAAACCATACATAGATTATCCCAACTTTAAAGTATTAGAAAAGTTTCTCAAATTTTCATTTTTGACAAACGAAAGCAATGTTATGACGAAGAAAGAGATGATGAATAACTTGAATTTATTTAAACTATTGTTTGCCTATAATTTAGTGGCCAAACGATTTTACTTTTATCATTACGGACTTTGTATGCCATCCACATGTAGTGCCAATGATTTGACTAATGCCTTACAAAAAAGTAAATACAGTATTGAATATATAGAAAATACTGAGAAATATAAAAACACTAACTCTATATATATACAGTACACACACACACACACACACACACACACACATAAATAATATCATTTACAATAAAAATAATAGTGTATTAAATATAATGTATTATCATTATATTAGTTTATGTTAAAAAAATTTCACTTACAGTTGTCCCCGGAGTGCCGTTAGAAGTTGGACCAACATGTGATGTGATTAGCGAACCGGTAGACTGGAATGTCTATCAAATGATTATGCTGTTAGTAGGATAAGCTTTTTTCACACTTACTATATTTTGTCATCAGATATATATTATATATACAATATATCTAATTAATAACAACTCTATCGCCAGAATCATATCCTTGACGTTTATATTTCTGGTTATTACCTCTACATTCATACAAATAATATATAAAAACTTAATTGTTTGCAATGATAAGCATCAATCATCCACTGCTAACTACACAGTATTCCATCAATTGTTGTCTTATTTTTCGCTAATTGAAGCCAACAAACGTTTGGTAAGCCGTTTCCGTGAGAGACTGGCCATTGCCGACGGCCTAATGTTTGTGTACGTGCTRTGGATCACTACTGCATTATCTTATGGATCTATTGTGAACGTCGGGTTTGTTGGATATAAAAAAATACATAATAGCTATCTAATCAATATTATGAAAGATAGCAAATATTTTTGGATGAAATCCATGTTCCCCAGGGACAGCATTTTTTTGCTCAGGTATGCTTACATAAAAATTTTTAAGTATATAATAAATCTATAAAGTAGATTAAATAAAATAAATATTTTAACAAAAAATTGTAAAATAAATAAAATTTAAGTTTTATTATGATTTTCGAATTAGTTTTACAAACAAACATTTTTACATTAAATAATAATAAAAAAATTATATTTATAAATAATAATAAAATATGGATCTAAATATATATATATTTAAATCAATATTTAAGTGGACTTATTATATCGTATGATTATTTTGGCGATAAAAATGAAAAGTTATGTCTAACTATTTGTCAATACATACGTTTTGCGGTCGAGAAATGGTACAGATTTACTGTCCGAATGGTGTCACCGATGCTGGTCTTGAATATATTGTCACTAATAGGAGACGGACCTAATTGGCATTCAGGTGATGACATATGGGTTAATATTTGTCGCGATAAGTGGTGGAAAAATTTGTTATTTATTAACAATTTTGAAAATTCAATTATGAATACTGTATGTATTAAATATACAGAATGTTTGTATTGTACTATACAATGGCAAACATACTGTACATTATATGAATATAATGATAAATGATTAATTATTAAACAATATTTACTTAACAGTGTAACCCTTTAAGCTGGCTATTGTCCGCAATATTTCAATTGCAATTAATTGCACCAATATTTATGATACCCTACAAAGTGATGCCACGATATGGTTATATAACAAGTTTATTGATATTTACTTTTGGCTGTTTCGCCACAATTGCCCCTAAAGTCATACAAGGCTTACGTTTGATACCGTATGARATATCAGAGATATACACCATTGCTGACACTAAATACTGTTTGTTTCGGTTTATGTTATACACCGACCAATTTGTGTCAATATTTATTATAGGCYTAACAACAGGTTATATACTTAGACACGAAAAATCATTGTTAGATTTGTTATATCATAAAAATAAATACATTAGTCATTCAATTGGATTCATATGTTTGACGACAAGTGTTTTAGGTGTTGTTTGGAGCGAAAGATTTAAAGACATCAATCAAATACCAAATAAACTAAATCTCGACATTTGGTTTGTTTTTGGGAAAATTTTATGGACTTTTGGTAATATTTGGTTAATTGGCTATTGTTTTACTAACACAAATGGTAATAATATTTAATTTATTTTCATAATATAAGTGTAATAACAATATTTAAAATGCTAGTAATGTCAACAAGTATTTAATACTTTTAACTTACAAAATTTTTTTAATCACTCAAAACTTTAGTTACTAAATTTAAAAATTATTTATTTTTAAAATATCAATTTACATATTTATTTTATAGGTTATATCATTAGATTATTGAAAACATTACCATTTCGTGTAATAACTCGTCTAACATATACTACATATTTTTTAAGTTATCCGGTAATCATGTATCGCATACTTACCACAAGAGACATCATTGAGATCAGTCACTCATCGCAAGTATGATTTTTATGACTATTCAATTCAATTATTTGTTTTTTATTTAGTTATCAATGACTATGATATATATATATATATATATATATTATTGTGTCTTAATTTTTATTTCAGCTCCGAGATCTTTATCTGAACCTCACTGTTATGATAAGCTTGGCATACATTGTCTATGTATTCATCGAGCATCCAATGCTTAGTATATTAGAGTCTATAATCAAAATCATTAATAAAACAACAAAAATAAATCAAACAATCAATACTTGTAAAACAATTGAAAGTAATAACATGTTAACAGACAAACTAAATAGTCATAAATTAGATTATAGTTTTAAGGAAACTTGTGTCTAGTTTATGATTTGTATCATTTATTTGATAAATGAAAATAAAGATATACTCATAACATAGGTTTTTAAAAATGTTTTTTATAGTATTAAGAATAATAATAAAGTTATCGTATTTTTATTATTTTTTAAATTATAGTTTATTAAATAATTTTTAGATATAATTAATAATAAACTTTGCTATTAATAGAAATTTTATTTTAAAAATATTAATTAATCAATAAATAAAAATAGTTTAATCTAAAGTAATAATTTGTTATTTAATTTTATTGACTAAAAATATATTTATAAGTAAAAAATAGTATATTTACTCTTAATTTAGCATCAATTAAAGTGCTTTAATTTTAATAAAAATTTTTATATAAAAATTAATGTATTGAATGTTATTAAAATTAAAATTTTATTTATAAATATTAATTTTAATTAATTTTTTTAATATTGTTTTTGAAATTGTAAATGATACATTAATATAACCCATTTATACATGCAATAAAAAATATGTTTGATTATTTAAAATTTATTATTATTAACTACATTAAATGTTTACATATAATGTTTGGAAATTTTAAAGTAATAAAAAATATAATTTATAGCAAAATATTTTAATAATTGAAAACAAAAATCATTAGTAGTTTAATATTACATTTAAATAATAACACAATTATTTACTGTATATGAAAAACTTAATTTATATTATGAACAGTATATATATACTGTATTTATATTTAATAATATTGATATATTATTATAAAGCCTTGAAACGATTGTATGATTTTTTAAAATAATTTATACCATTACTGTTATCTACATTGAATTTAAACTACCAGTTTTATGACCCTGCAATTTTCTAAAATAATAAAACTTCAAAAAAATAATGAAAGTTTTCACTTTTAAAAATATATTTGTTGTTAATAAATTGTATTTTTTATCGTTTATTTTTATGTGACAAAAGTTGTATAAAACTGTATATTAATACAAAAGAAAACTAAATTTTAAAATATATTATCAAAAGTGTTAGTTTTTGTTGAATTCAAAAATGTGGCATAAAATATGTATATTGATTTTAAATTGTATTTTAATAATYAATTTTGGTCTGTGCTTACAATCTAATAATGACATAAATAATAATAATAATAATTGTGAACAAAGTTTTGTTAATATAAACAATAATTGTAGTTTGATTTTCAACAAAACTATAACAAAAACGGATCGAAAAATATCAAAAATATTTAACAAAGTTTTTCAATTGTTGTCTAAAAATAAAAAGATTGATTCAAATGTTAATAAAAATGAGTTACAAATCAATAATATTTACGACCAAATCATTGATAATATTAAGCCAATTGAAAGTCGTTTGAAACATACTTTTGTTGAATTTTTATTATCACTTAATATATCTCAACAATGCTTTGAATCAGTAATACAAGTAACACAAGCTATGAAAACACGGCAATTGTGGGCTTATAAATGTAAAGTTATTTGAAATTAATTTTTAATTTAAATATTCTATTAATATGTACTGTATATATAATATTATAATTTTAATAATAAAATAAAAATATTAATAGTTAACTGTTTTTCTACTTTAAGTATCTAATAGTAATTGTCTTACAATACCTAATCTAACACTTAAACTAAAAATATTTATTTATAGAAAAATAGTGTTTAATAATATTATTTAAATATTTATACAAAAATACAGTTTTAGACGCATCCGGCAAAACACCGCCCGCTTTATTGGAGGGAGTGTTTACAAGTTTCGGTGATTATGACCAGTGTTTGGCTATTAAGAGTCCAACGATTAATGGCCAACACATCTATGGCCGATATTGTCTAATCAGACCTTTTCTACAATTTAATGATTTTCATATTATTGAAAATATTGTAAAAACCTATTTGTTAAACAATGAAAACTTCAATATCACTGAACGAGACATTGAGAAAAATATAAATCTTATGAAATTTTTGATTACAATCAACTCATTCACCAAAAATGCTTATCTTTTTAATTACGGCTTATGTATACCATCGCAATGTAACAAAAGTGACGTTCAATCAGCACTAAATAAATGTAATTTTTATTATGTTATGGATATCAATGAAAATTCATTACTTATAATTTTATATAATTTATACAGTAAACGAAATTATACCTATAGAGGTAGGACCTAATAAATGTGATGCCATCACCGATACGATTGAGTTAAATACATTTCAATTAGTTATATTGTAAGTAGTTTATCATAATTAACTCAAATTTTTGTAATATTTTTTTATTAATTATTATCTATCAAACTAAGTATCATATTAGCGACAATAGTAACATTGGTGGTCATGTCTACAATTATTCATATTTTATACAAAAAGTTTTTCAAAGTTAATACACTTCAACTCATAACCCATAAAACATGTGCAATGGATATAATAAAGTCATTTTCTATCATTACATCTACCAATCGATTGGTTAGTCCATTAAGTGGTCGTTTACTAATTGTAGATCTATTGCTAATAATACACATACTGTGGTTCATTGTAACCCTAAATTATGCCATAATTCCGTGTTCCGGGTTTGTTGGCTACAAAAATATCAATAATAGTTATATAATCAATATTATCAAAGAGACTAAATATTTTTGGTTGCGAACCTATTTCTATAGAGATATATTATTTTTATTATGGTAWAAAAGTTGTATTGATTTTATCAATAATATATCTATTAATAGTTAAAATTATAGTTTATAATTTTTTTAAAAAATATTTATCCAATTAGTGGTGTTATCATATCGTACGACTATTTTGGTAAACACCAGACAATACCGTTGACTGTTTGGCAATACATGAAATTTGTGTCCGAAAAATGGTTGCGATTTATACCGAAAATATTTGCTCCAGTGTTTGTCCTAACAATAATGTCGGTAATAGGCAATGGACCGGGATGGCATGTAGGGGACATCCAATTTGTAGACGCCTGTCCACAAACATATTGGCGAAATCTATTGTTTATTGCCTTTTATAATAATGATTATTCTACCACTGTATGAAAGTATATAATTAGTTAACGTTTAGTAAAATAATTATTTTTTATTTTTTTTAAATCCTAGTGTGGCCAAATGTCATGGTTGATATCTGTCTTATTTATTTTGAATATGTTGTCGCCATTATTTATGTTGCCATTCAAATTGTCCCCTAAATTCGGTTATATATTTAATACAATAGCCCTGGCACCGGCATCTATAGCTATTATTTTGCCTAAACTACTATTTGACATTAAATTAATGCCTTATGAGACGGCAGACGCCTATATATTAGATGATATGAAATATTCATTGGGTCGTATGTTTATGCATCCCGACCAACATTTTCTTATGTTTATCACTGGTATTATTTTAGGCTATACTTTACGATATAGTCAACATTATCGTTGGTTAAAAACTATTTTTAGTCACCGATTTTTAAGACCAATGTCAGCAATGGTTTGTTTGTCGATATCAGTATTGGGTATCGCTTGGAGTGAAAACTTTAAGGACATGAATGAGATTCAAAACAAATTGAATCTTTGTATTTGGTATGTCTTCGGCAAGATTTTGTGGTCAATCGGCAATATTTGGTTTATATTTGATCAACACTTTCGAAAAAATGGTTAATTTAGTATTAATATTTGTTTTTTATGATGACTATTATTATTATTATAAAAATTTAATTTTTGTTTTCATCAATTTATTATTTATAGCATTAATTGTTGAAATACTGTTGTCATCCAAACTATTTAATATTATCAGCAAATTATCAATTGGTGTTTTAATGATTAGTATATCTGTTATAAATTTTCGACAATTTATTAAAAGGGAAACCATTGATATTAGTCATTTTTTGCAAGTTAGTGTCAATTTATTTATTTTTTTTTTAAATTAGTTAATCATATATTTATGTAATAACATTATTATTATTATTATTACTATTACAGTTACAGTTTTTAATTGTGGATCTCATTGTAATGTTAATCATTGCATACTTGATGTATGTGTTTGTCGAGTGTCCGGTAATTAATTTGTTGAACTTATTTAAACATAAAGGAAAAACATTTAATCGGATATTAACGAAAACAAATGTTACAAACAATTATACCAATAATAATAACAGTGAAAATCAAACCAACAATTTTGAACTTAATTTTATCTTCAATTCAGAAAATCTTAATGACTCTTAATATTTTATTACTTAAAATTGATAATTTAATTTACATATTTATTAAAAAATGTACTTGTACTTTAATCTGGTAATATAAAAATGTTTTAATTAATTGATTAATTTTTTAAAATTTAAATAATAGTCATTAGTTTTATATTTATCAATATTGTTTGTACAGTAAAATTAAATTAATTAATATAATTGATATTTTTAATAATTTTGTTTAATCAATATAGTTAAATTTGTTTAAAAGTACAATAAATAATATAATAATAATATAAATAATAAAATATTATTAATAACACTTTCAAAAGTTCTTATAAAAGTAAGTTTTTTTTAGTAAAACGTTAATTTACAAAATATTTCTTGAGGCATTAATTATCATAAAATTTTCACATTCATTAATTAATAAACATTTATTCAAATTATCAGATTTAGTAAAAATTTATWAAAAAAATATTACTTAACGGTAAACATAATGCTATTTAATGGTAATATTTATTATGAATATAATTATTGCAATTTAAATTGCAAATATTTAYAATTACACAACTAAAGTAAAYATTTAATAATAGAAAATATTTTTAAGTATCATATTATAGTAACTAAATTTATAAATAAATATAAGTTAATACAATTTTTAATATTAAGTCAATTTAAAAGTTGCAAAAAATCGTCAATTGTTAAAATATTTATATATTTKTCAATTATTATYATTGACATTATGTTAATTCATATTTTAAATACAATCTAAATATACAACACTTGAAAGCAATTTTCAATAACATTTATTTAAGATAACTCTATTGGATATAATTTGTTGTGAAAACTATTATTGAAGAATAAAATAATTTAGTTTATAATAATAAAAATTTTGTTTCATTAAATTTATTAAATTGAAGTATTATTTTTTATGAAAATCTTATTTTGAATTTTCTAGTAATATTAATTATTTCATAKAATWTAGTGTTAAGTTTGTAAGTATCATATATGATTCATATGTAGTATTGGCAAAAAAGAGAGATTTTTAAAATAACAGAAATTTATGAAAAGTTTCAAAAAGAAATTTCTGTTTATGTGATCCCATATTAATTTATATTCTMTTGATATTTGTTATATTGAAACAATTCATTATAACTATAAATATTAACTAAATTTTATTATTATTATTTTAATTAATACTCAAAGTAAAAAATAATTCATTAATTAYATTAAACTAAAAATATAAAAAATTATAATTWGATAATTATATGAATTTTATAAATAAGAATYCCATTACTTGTAGTGTAGWGTATAWTAGTATCACAATATCTATATATATGGGAATCCCATAGTATAATGATTAAGTAAAATGTCTATTTGCTTATCTCTAATCATATATAATTAGTTATTATTAATTTGTAAAAATATWAACAACAAAAATTGAATCACTTAATAATATAAATAAATYAAATAAACAACAAAAATAAAATTCTTAATCATAACAACAAAATTTAACTTAAGTTTGCTTTTAATTTTAAAATTTTACTTATATATTTTATTTTATATTAAAATTTTTTATTAAACTCGATTTTGTTTAACTATTATATTTTATTTATTAATGTATATATCATTTAATTATTAATAATCTCAAATTAAATTTTAGSTAAYTTATTAAAAATAAATACTTGAATATTAATAAATTAATTTTATTAATACTATTATAATTTTTTTTATCTATAAATTATTCAATGAAATAATAAATATGATGATTAAAATATAATCACTTAAAAATATACAATTTCAAATTTAATAATAATTACCATAATGTGAGTGCTCTGACCGATTAACAACATTTTAAACAAATAGGATTTTTAATCAAATTATTTAAATAGGTATAATGATATCATTTTCACTTATTAATTAGTAATTTATKAATTTTAATTGTTATTATTATTTGAATGAATCCGATAACTAATCCGATGTTAAAGWTTTAATTATTGTTTTTMCCATTATGTTTATTATATTGATTACACATTATTAAGTTATTTAATATTTTATAAGTTAACAATTTTGTGTAATTTTTACAAACTTTTATTATGATTTWGTTTAAAAAATAAATAAATAAATTACTCTCAATCATTTCAATCACTTTAAATTAATAAATTTAATTAAATATTAATACTAMTATTATTGTTTAACATATAATAGTTTGTTATTTTTAATAAATGTAAATTTAATAACATACAAAATAAAAATTACTTAAGTATGATAAAATACTTAATTTTATTTTGTTATATAATTTATTACATTCAAAGTTTTAAATAAAGTAACAAAAGTTTATTTACTTTTGCACTTCAGAGCAGTGAAAACCCAAAAAAGATTTGAACATATAATGAAAACATTGCATTAAGTATCAGAAATTGCAATAAAATAACAATAAATAAAATACAGTAATTAAATAAAAAAAAATTTAAATCTTTTTTTTAAGCAAATATATTGCGTAAAATATAGAAAAAATAATATTGTATTWACATTTATTTGAAATCTTATTTTAATTCTGAATTTTTTAGTTATTTTTTACATAACTATTTCTCGCGAATTTTTCTAATGATGTTTAAAGAAAAATATGATAAATTTGTTAAACATTTATTATGTTATGTTTCAATAAACAAACTCATATTAAATTATTGATAATGCAGTTTATTAGTGTTACTTAATATTACTATATTATTATGTATTATTATGTATTGTTAATAAGCTTAGGGAGCCCACAAATTGACATGTTATGAAAAAACACACAATTAACTATTAAGTCATACATTTAAATAAAAAATTAATTATTGTTTCAAATTTGATTTACGTAGACAGTGTTTGTACATTTACATTAAAAACCATTGCAGTATAAAACAGTAAAACATGGTTTTATATTAAAAGCCGTACTATTATATCGTACTATAAATTATAATGTATACTGTATTTAGTGAGTATTTTTTAATGTGAAAGCCCTTGAAAAGCAACTTTACATGTATTATCAATAACTATATGTCCGATGATGTTAAGTGTAATAATATTTTTCTTAATTTTAAACCAAAACCTGATTACTTTTTTTAGTACCTTAAGGGCACTCAGGGCAGTGTATATCTAAAATGTAAATATTGTTTATATTTGTATAAAGTATATACTGTAGTCTATATATATATAGATATTTATTGATATTTAATAATTGAAAATATGATATAATTGATTTAGTCAGATATATAAATAGTTTGAAATTTAAAATGATAGACATTCACAGATTGTTCAATATTTCATATTTTTAATTCAAATTATAGTATTATTATTATTATTGACAACATTAAGAATTTTTAAAAATATATGAAAAGCATTTATTATTTAAGTATTTAATTAATTTATTATAATGTGCAATATTTTTATGTCTATCAAATTTATTATTTATTTAATTTTATTTATACTACTATTAAGATGTGCAAACTCTAGCAATACTGATACTAATAYAGTGATTAATTGTAATAATAAAACTCAATGTAATCGCAATGTAAATAATATACAGAATAAGGAAAATAGTGAAAGATTTCAAAAAGTTTCAAAACCATTGYTCAAAGTTTATAATAATTTCCAAAAGTCTACTATTAAACAATTGAAAAGTATTCAAAATGTGACATTAAGTTTAAGTGATATAACAAAAAAAATTACTGAAAACCTTAAGCCAATTGAGTTAAAACTAAAACAAACGGCTTTTGAATTTTTATTATCACTTAATATATCGGTTGAGTGCCAAAAATCGGTGCTTCACGTGTGGAATGGCCTACGAAATGGACAGCTCTGGGCTTACAAATGTTAGWTTTTTATTTTGTTTTAATAATATTAATTTWAAAAAAATAAATTATCAATTTTTATAAATTTTTTTAGTATTTGATGCAAACGGTAAATTACCGTCGGGTGTCTTGGAAGGTGTGTCCACTATATTTGGTAATTATGAACAGTGTTTGGACATTAAAAGTGCGCCAATTTATGACAATAATGAGTACATATACGGAAAGTATTGTTTGATCAGACCGTATGTCCAGATAATTGATTTCAAACAACTGGAAACTCGTATTAAAAAATTAATTTCAGACATTCAATTGTCTGTGATATCCGACAAAGAGATTGAAAATAATATTAATATTTTTAAAGTATTAGTATCTCTGAATGTTGTGTCCAATAAATTTTATGTATTTAATTATGGATTATGTATACCGTCTATGTGTAGTGTCAATGATGTGCAAAATATTTTAAAGAATGGTAAGTAAAAATAAATTTTAAAAATTAATCAAATATTTAATAACTATAACTTTAATAATTTATTATATTTTATAAGAGATTAATAGAAATATTTATTAGATAAACATTTAATATTTAAAGTATAAATATTTAATTTTTAATTTAAGTTAAGTTTATATTTTTCATTTTTTTAGTAATTCAACCAATCATTAACATTCCTATTGAAGTCGGACCCAAATGTGATGTTAGCACAGATAACCTAACGTTAAATAATTATCAAACTGTTATGTTGTAAGAAATAATTTGATAAAATATTTTTCAAAAGTAATTAATTATTTTTAAATTGATATATCCATTAAAGAATATTAATGTCTATTATGGTTGCATTTTCGCTAATTTCAACAATATTGATGGTATACTATCAATTAAATTATAATAATAATAATAATTATGATATTATAATAAATAATAACTACTGTTCATCATTAAGACCAAACAAACCAAATGTTTGGATCGACTATTTAAAACAATATTCACTGATTGATGCTAACAAACAATTGTTTAGTCCATTAACTAATAGACTATTAGCTGCCGATGCGCTGCAATTGTTATATAGTTTTTGGTTGTTGGCTGTTATGAATTATACGTCAATTATTGGCAGCGGTTTTGTTGGTTACAGGAATGTCCACAATAGTTATCTGTTAAACATTGTCAATGAAACCAAATATTTTTGGTTACGCACACTATTTCATAAAGATATGATACTTGTCATTAGGTATACCCTATATTTTATTTAACTTCTCTTTAATAGAATATAAATTAATTATTTTWAAAAACCTTTAAATTATAGCGGAATTTACATATCGTATGACTTTTTTGGTGACAAACAGATTCCGTTAACAGTTTGGCAATACATTAGATTTGTCGGTGAAAAGTGGTATCGTTTAACAGTAAAAATGTTGGCGTCATTGCTTGTCTTTAACCTACTATCCCTAATTGGGTCCGGGCCATTATGGAACACTGGTTATCCTACATTTGTAGAGTCGTGTTCACAAAATTATTGGGCAAACCTATTATTTATTAGTAATCTAATACACGAATCATCTCAATTGGTAAGAATAAACTAAATAATAATAATGATATAATTAATAAACATATATTTTTATTACTAATTACTGGTAACAATACAGTTTTTATGCATACAATTATCTGAAAATTGCTTATTTTTACTTTTTAAAAATTTAAGTGTAATCCCGGAACCTGGTTTATATTACTTATATTTCAATTACATATAATATCACCGCTATTTTTAGTGCCATTCAAAATATCCCCACATTTTGGCTATATATTTAATTTGATTGCCTTTTTGCTAACATGTGTTGTAAATATTTTACAAAAACTATTGTTAAACTTGAAGGCTATGCCCTACGAGGCGGCCGAAGTGCACACCGCTATTGAGATGAGGCAATCAATTATGCGGTTATTTGGTTTTCCCGACCAATACATCTCTATATTTATTGTGGGCATTGTGTTTGGTTATATTATGCGAAACAAAAATCAACTTGATAATTTAGTGAAAAACATACATGTCAAATTTGTTAACTCAATTATATGCTATTCATTGTTTATTGCGGTCATAGCTTGGAGTGAAAACTTTAAAGATATGAATGTCATTCAAAATAAATACAATTTTAATTTATGGTTCACTTTCGGTAAAGTTTTTTGGACTATTGCTAACTTATGGCTTATGTATGATGTGCTCAGCAAAGGTATTGTACATCAAAAACATTAATTATTCTTTAAAATAACAATACAAATACTGTATACTTTGATTAAATATTAACGCTTTTACTATATATTGTCTAATATTAAATTGTTTAAAACTATATAACATACAGATATGTTTCAAGTTTTATTATCATCTTCACTATTTGGTGTAATATTGAGGTTGTCTTATGGTATATTATTAATTGGTCCAATAGTTATTGGCTATAGAAAGCTAACATTACGCGATACTGTGCCTTTAAGACATTCAGCTCAGGTATGTTTTGTTATTATTATTAATTTTGAAAAAATCAAAATATCAGAGACTTGCAAATAATACAATACAACTTAAATATATAATAAAAATATATATATTTAATATACAATTTTGTTGTTGTTATTGCGTCAAAATTTGCATAAATGAATATACAGTACAAACATGGATTTATTTGCAATCAACAAATTAAATATTTTATTTCGCAATTATTTATTAAAATATTTTCCTAAAGATATTTACATTAGTATAGTTAGTTTATACATTAAATAGATTAATTAGAAAGTAATAATCACAATATTTTAATGGCATTTTTAGAAATTAGTACAATAATATATTATTTAAAAAACAATCACTAATTGTTTTATAATTTTTATATAATTATTTAAATGATGATGATTATTATTATTGATAATTATTATAATTTATTTTTAATAGACGAAAATCACATGATAATTTATATAAAATTATTTTATAATATCGTATATACTCTATTATAAATTATAACAATGATAAATATATTAATTGCATGTATATTAATTTTGTATTGTTTATTTATTTATGAATAATTTAGATTGAGCATCTAATTATGGACATAGCCTTGATGATTGTCATCTCATATTTAATGTACATTTTTATTGAATATCCATTAATCAAATTGTTGAATATATTTAAAAATAAAAAATTAGATAAAAAACAAAATAATTTAATCGTAAAATCTACTCAAACGGCTATCGATGAAAACGCAAACTCTATTGAACTTAAATATATATTTATTGAATAAGTCTACAAATTTTATACTATAATTTTATGAATAATTTTTTTAGTAACAAAATTATATTAAGTTGTTTTTATAAATATATATCTCAATATTATTTATTATATTTAATAAAATTTATAATACAAATATATTAATTTAAAATATTATCATGTAATAAATATCAAACATTTTCTATATAAATTTGTATTAAAAATATGATTTATTAAATTATAAGTAAATTTGTAACATTTTTTTAAAAATATCATTAAATAATAAAATGTATTTAAGTACAAAATAACCATATATTTATATTACATACTAGTAAGTAATAAGATTACTGAAATATGCAAACATAATTTATTAAATATATGATAAAATAATGTTTATCAATTTCATATGGTATAATAAATGAATGTTTTTTAAAGTAATATAATTTTTATCTAATAATAGTAGAATCTATTGAATTATTTTGATACTTATTAGGTAAATTTTTAAGTATTGAAAATATATACTAATTTCATTTATTTTTAGTAAATATTGGATTTTTTAAAAATATATAATAAACAATAACTACTGTATAATAATTTACTGTAATATGTTAAATTTGTAATTTATTTTGGTTTAATATTTATTATTAACAATTAGTGATACATATCTAATTTATTAAAATTTACTATTTTATTGCATTTAAGATTTATTATTGCATTTTCTTGTAAACTATATTTAATCTAATAATATATTTGTAAATTTGATGATTGTTGTTACTAGAGTATGCTATCAAATAAAAGTGGGTCACAGTTAAGAATTTATTGATACTTTAATTTTCCTGTAAATTTATTTATATATTAAAAATTATATCAAGGTTAAATAAGGTCAAGGACAACATATATACAAAATACAATATACTAAATCTAAAAGGCAATAATATTTTTTATTATACCTATTAATAAAAATAAAATTGAAAGTATTATTGCTATTATTTCGAAAAAAATAAAATCATAAAATATATTATTTTATTATTGATAATAAATATCAATTAAACAGATTTATAATGTGATCTTCAAATAAAATAATATATGATTTAAAATCATGCATTTCATATTTATTTTTTATAGCTCAGACCAAAAAAATGTGATAACAAAAACTTTGAATTAAACAAAACAAAATCCTTTGAAAAATGGTATAAATATACAGTAAGCGCATTGTTTCAAACAATATTAGTTATCAACTGTAAAAATGTTGTCTTTAATTAAATTATCACCAATTGTGTTATGCCTATTGTTAGTTTGTCCACTATTGGTACAGTCGGGCAGATACGGCTGTTTTACTCCAATTAATGCCATACCTGGTTGTGTATGTGCGTCAATCTTTGTATGTAAAGCATAATAATAATTATTATTTTTATTATAATTAAATATTTAAATTAACAAAAACTTTAATATTAATTAATTTAGAGTACAGTCGACTTTACATACAAAACCACTCTAACGTGTAGTGGAATACCGCCCGCAATAACTATAGTCCAATTGAAGGAAAACTTGAATAAACTAAACGGTTATGACATCGACGACCTAATTATTAATAACTTTCCTCTCAGTTCATTACCCGGCGATGTATTTGACGAAAAAACAATTATTCGGCGAATTATTATTAATAACTCACCAAAACTCGAGGCATTTGGCTCTAAAGACAACTCATTTTTTTCAAAAATAGCAACAAATGTCGAATCAATTATTATAGCCAACAGTCCTAATATACAGAGAGAACAGTGGCTAAAATTGTCCGAAGCTCTGGCTGGTGGGGGTGGGGTTGATGATGGTACTAGAAAAAGTACACGAGCAGGTGGTCGGCTCAGGGATTTGGTGATCTACAAAAATATCAACTTTGATGTCGACAATTTAGCTGATTTCGAGAAAGTTGCCCCAACTATTGAAAGATTGATACTAAAAGGCACCGGTATTACTAAAATTACTCCCGATTTGACTTCATTTTCTGCCCTACGCTATTTGGACATATCGGAGACGCCTAACTTGAAAACGTTTGAATTAAAGGTAGAACTGCCCGTTACATTACATACTATTAATCTTAAAGGCACGAGTATAGCATATTTTGAAAAGGACTCACACAAAAATTTAGGCAAAGCTTTATTTGTTGATATAACCGGTAGGTTTTCTAACCATTGTTTTTCTAAATATTTTAAAATATTAAAATAATTTATTATTGAATATATATATGTGTGTGTGTGTGTGTAAAATAGGTAGCAATAAACTAGATTGCAATTGTGACAAAATTGGCACTGAGAATATTAATGTAGAAGCATTTATTAAACGTTTTGATGGGGCTAAATGTGGAATACCATCTCAATTGGTTAACCAACCGTACGGAACAATTTGTTTGGAAAAGAATAGACAGTCTTTCTATACAAAACAATTGGGTTACAAACCGTTGTCAATGTTGGCTAAATTTATTAACAATTAAACACAAATATTTTTTTATTATTATAAAATATAATTAAAATTTCAAAAAATATGTTTATTTAATTTTTAAATACTTATTTATAATTAACAATTTGAATTTATATAATAAAATAACCAAATTGAGCTAAAATATATAAATAAAATATAATATATTATTAATACACTCTAGAATTATTGATTTTCAAAAAATTTTAAACAATTAATTTAGTATTATATATCACATTCAATATCTTCATTTATAATTCAACATTATTTATAAGGAAATTTTGCTAAACTGTATTACATTATATGCATGATTTTATCATATTGTAAATTAGTGTTGATTTTATAATTTAATGGTATATAATAATAGTATTGAATCACATTTTATAAAAGTAATCGTAAATTATTTATTTAAATAATATACAACATGTAATGTAAAATCAATCTGTAAATAATGACATATAGTGAATGTTAAATAATAATAATAATATAAATTAAATATGATGAAGTTATTTTTTTAATTAACTATATAAAAGTCTTATTTTTATTTTGTTAAGTAATATTCATACTTTATGTAATTAATGGTAAAATTAATCTTAAAAATGTTTATATAATGTATTAAAAATTAATATATTTAATAATATGGTATTTTTGAAAAAATGTAATAATATAAATGAATTATAAATTAAAATTTCTTTAAAAATTATAAGAATAATGTATCTTAATAATTATTAAATTATTATTAAATAAGTTTTTTTAGTTTTATAACGATGATCTTATATTATTAATAATATCTTATTTAAATGATATTGAATATTAATGGATGTAATTTAGTAAAATTTATAAATGTTTATATCATATCATATAATTTATTAATGATTATGAAAAAATTTAGAATTAATAAAAACATTAAATATATATATATATTATTGTTTTATACAGTATTTAGATAACACAGTACATAGTATGCATAGTATGCATAGTACACTGGTGATCAGCAAAGTGATTTTTGATTATTTTGATTAAAATGCACTGTCGAAGCTTATGGTTTATTAAAATATATTTCATCTAGCTCAAATACACTGTTACATATTTATTTTAATTAAATAGTATATTTTATTTAATATTATATAAAAAATGTTATTAAATTTGTGTATTAGAATTTTTTTGTTTTTTATCTTGGTCAGTAATTATGTTTTCAAGTAAGGGACCGTATAATCATTGTGATAACGGCTGGTACATACAGTACTATACTATTAATATATAGTTTATTACTTGTATATAGCATATGCTAGTTCTCAATATAATTCAGTAACTATTTAATAAAAACAGCCACTTTGTAACAGTACATGAGATTATATACAGTATAAATTATATATATATATATATATACTATAAAATGTATAGTATACATATATATATCATTTGAATACYAGTACTATGTATTATAATTATACAAAAATAGATTATTATATAAATAGTCTAATGTATTTATATTAATTTTTAATTTTATTCATAAATGACATTTAATAGGATAATTAAAATATTTTTATAAAAAAAACTTTATTTATTTATATTTATATTTAAGGCAGAGTCCACATATAAACACGTTTCCTATTATGAAAACAATGTTGAAATAATATCTAATGTAATAAAACTTAATTATTAAATAATGAGGATTTTGTCAATGATTATTAATCTAATTAAATTATTTATACAAAATATATTTTTTATAATATCATTAATTATCACACATTACTGTATTATAGTTTTTTATAAAAATAATGACAATGTGCTTTATAGTTAATACGTGTATAGTGTACGATCATATAATTATTTAATTTGGTTAATATCTTAAGTAAAAACTTATAATAAGATTTTATTTGTATTTTCATTTTTTTAAAAACAAAGTTAATATTTTAAGAGATGTTATAGACTAATGTGAATTAATTAATTGATTAGCTGTAATAAGTTACATTGCCCAACAAAATATATTATAGATAGCATTTTAGATATAATTAATTAACAAATTAATTGTATAAAATTGAAAGTACAAAAGTTATCTAAACATATGCTAAATTCACTGTCAAATAAGTATTTAATGGATCACACATTTGAGTTAAAATTTATTTAGCAATTTATTTAAAAATAAAACAAAACACGAAATACATAAAATTAATAAAAAATGTCAATTATATTGTTATTAATTGTTTTAGTTATTAATGCAATAAACTTAATAAACAGTGAGCTTGTCATCAGAAATTGTGGTCCAAGCGATTCCTATTCACGTATGGGTGCAATTAAAATTAATCCCTATCCCATTAAGTATCCAGGTGCGCACACTAAACTTGAATTCAATGAATTTTTGTTAAAATTATTATTATTTTTCTAACTCAGGAACTGTCGATATTGACATTGATGTCAATATAATTAAAGATGTACCCAGTCAAGATTTAATAGCTGTACTATCATTGGATAAATTGACGCCCAATCGTATGCATATACCTTGTATGGATCAAATTGGTTCATGGTAAAATTTATTATTATTATATATATATATGAATTTTGATTATAAATTTTTTTATAACAATAGTACTTATGATTATTGCGAACAACAAAAAGTATGGAAAAAAGATAGCAATCTATTCGGTGCAATGATGCCAATTGATTGTCCAGTAAATACTAAAAACTATACATTTCATTTTACTGATCGTACACTACCTAACGTTCCCGATATTTTCAAAAAAGTTATCGATGTATGTATTAACTCAATATACTAATAATACTATTTTGTTTAATGGTATAATATAAGATAAAATTGATTTATAAATGTAAAAGTTGTTATATTTTTTAAATATTATATTGTATATCATGTTTTAGGGTCAGTCTGAAGTCAATATGTCATATGTGAACTCAAAGACAGGTCAGGTCTATGGTTGTGTTTATGCAAAGTTTGATGTCAAAGTTTTAGACTTATAAAAAGCAAACAACAATTAACTCAAATATTTATCAAATGTATTGTGTAATAACATTACTTTTTTTAAATAAATATTAAGTTATTTCAAATTTATACTGTAATACACTTTTTTCAATTAAAATTATCATTTTTTATCTGTAATATTCTGTAAAATTTAATAAGAAAAATATTATTATAGTTAAGCATACAGTAGTAAACATATAGTAGTAAAGTAGCGGTAAAACAATGCTATATACCAGGCGATATCACGATTATTATACGGTGTACATAAACATTAAAAACATTAAACATAATTACTGACCAAGATAAAAAACAAAAAAATTATAATACACAAATTTAATAACCTTTTTTATATAATATTAAATAAAATATACCACTTAATTAAAATTAATATGTAACAGTGTATTTGAGCTAGATGAAATATATTATAATAAACCATAAGCTTCGACAGTGCATTTTAATCAAAAGTAATCAGAAATCACTATACTGATCACCAGTGCTATATACTGTATATATATAATATAACTTATAATATAAGATATCTAATCGATATAAAGTTTTCGTTTCTTCCTTTAATTATAAGTAAACATTAAAAAAGATTTTAATATATATATTAAGTTAATTAAGTCCGTGGTTTTGTAAAAAAATACAAACATTATATTTTTAGTTATTATATATATATATATATTCAGTGACATTAAAAAAGCTTATATATTGAAATTGGTTATTCTGTGATTTTATGATAAAAAAGTTATGACCTATAAAAATGTCAAATCATGGATCTTTAATGTTTATATAAAATAAACTAACTTTTAAAACTTCAAGTATAAAAAATAACAAAAATATACAAAATATAGCGAACTATGAATATTTAAAAATAAACTTATATTTAATATTAAACTTTCTAACAAACCTTTGCAAAACACAATAAAATGGTATATCGTATGCATATACCGTGTTTGGATCAAATGGGTTCATGACTAGTGGTTAGTTAGTATAACAATAAAATAATAAGTTATATTATTATTATTTGTTTATATATTTTAAACATAAAATTTTTTATAACTACTATATAATAGTACCTACAATTATTATGAACAATTTTGAAAAGGGATAGCAATTTAGCAAGGGATGGCAATGATGCCAGTCGACTGTCCATTAAATACTAAAAACTATACATTTCATTTTTAGCGATTGTAAACTACCTGACGTTCCCGATATTTTCAGAAAAATTATTGTATAACTTATACGATTTGTTTCACTAAAATGATTGATTAATAATATAAAATATAATGTTAAAATTTAAATTGTTTTATTTAAATATAAAAAAAATAAATATCATATTTTAGGGTCAGTCTGAAGTCAATATGTCTTATGTGAATTCAAAGACAGGACAAGTCTATGGTTGCGTTTATGCAAAGTTTGATATAAAGCTTATAAACACTTATAAAACAACAAAAAATCAAATGTTAACTCAAATTACATTTTTATAAAATGTATTGTAATTAAATTACTTATTTATTAATTATGTCAAGTTTATACTGTAATAATACTATTTAATACTATTTATAAAAATTATTATATCATTATCTCTATAATTTAATATTGAAAACAATGTTTTGATATCTGTTTTGAATTTAATAAAAAAAAATATTGAGAATATTATTCATAGTAAAGCAAAATAATATTATATTTTAAGCTATCTAATCAAACATTAAATTTTATATATTTATATTGTCGACCAGATGTCGACTGTATACACTCACAGACAGACACACCGTATATACTGACATCACATCCCTTTCCACCCTTGAGTAACGTTTTGTCCCTCAACCCAATCACTACATGTAATCGTTATAATTATCGTTAAATCAAACCATCTTTTTATCTAATTGTCGGCCTCTTGGCTGACATTATTGGCGCAGTCGGCAGGATAACGCATTACTGTAGTTGATTTCATTGACAAAAACCGTGAATCGTCCGAAATGCCGTACAGATACAGTACGAGGTGCCCAACACGTGCTGAGCGTATACGGGCCTCACATCGTAGCAAACGTGTCAACCGCAACGTTATCAATACGACAAACACCGAAGACAGCGCGGACGAAGACGTAAGCGGCCACCACAATGAGACCGTCGCCGCACGGGTCTCACGGTTTCGCACAACCGACGGTCCAGTTTTACCGCACGTATCGGTCGCTCGTAATAACGACAAGACACTCAAACGCATACCATCCACGGCATCGATTCATTATGCAGCCAAAGACTCAACAAAGGAGTGGCACCGCATATTCACGTTACTCACCATCGGAGCCATCGAAAAGGAGTGTCTCATCGCTTCGGCTCTGCATTACCACACTGACGGCGATGCCGGTCAATCAACGAACACTATCACCGAAAGCTCGTCATCGGACAGCTCAACAAACAAAGACGTCACGATTTGCGTTCAAATCGCACGACTATCCGAAACATATCGTCCTATTGTGACACCGACTGTCCTCGACATCCATCGGGCGACAGACACTATCACTATTGGACGAGAAATCATCGACACCACCTCTCAAGACGTAGACAACGATGTAAACGTCGATATATCACCGAAATCGCGACATTCGTATTCATATACGACAAGAAATCGTTCAAAACAAACGGCGCATCAGAAAGCGTCACATCATTCACGTGTGACTCCCGATAGTAGACGTAACGACATGTCGTTCACGTCATCAAATCGTTTGGTCACATATCGCCATCAATCAAGACAGACACACCGTATATACTGACATCACATCCCTTTCCACCCTTGAGTAACGTTTTGTCCCTCAACCCAATCACTACATGTAATCGTTATAATTATCGTTAAATCAAACCATCTTTTTATCTAATTGTCGGCCTCTTGGCTGACAATATATTCATATTATATACTTTAAATCTAATGACATTACTATAATACGTTCGTATTTTATATAACAAATTACTTAATGTTTTATTTAAAAGGTAGCAAAACATAAACATATATACTTATAACTATTTTTACAATAGCTTTTAAATAAAATACTATATATACCTTATGTTTTGGTTTATAAATTATTAGTAAACATTATTAATTATTTTAGCAAATTTTATTTTTTATATTATTAATAAAATAAAAAACATTTCAAGTTTATCTATTATATAAAAGATATAAAAATTGTTTAGTTTACTCAATATACAGTATTGTTTATTTTTTATTTTCTAGTACTGTACGTATATAACTAGTAAGCATATAAAAAGCTATTTTATTAAAAAAATATTATAATTTTAATAATGGTTTTAAAGGTTTATTTTTATCAAAGTTTGTTAATCTAAGTAATGTTTACTTTTATTTTAATACTATAGTATTTGTTATAATAACAAATATTATTAAAGTATACATTATATACACAATACTATTATTCATTTTAATTTAATTATTAAGCCAATCAATAGCTAATATAATAACAAATATTGACAAAACAATCCTATTGTATTAAGTAATTTTTTAGATATAAACTGTAATCATTAAAATAAATATTTTAAAAAATTAGTATATTGTTTATTTATGTATCCGTTTTTGTTTATTTTTCATTTTAATTAATATATAATTAAATAAGAATTTTAAAATATATATATATATAATACTGTATTTTTTGTTACATAACAAACTACTTGTCTTTAATATTGATTTTTATGTGACAGTTGTTTTTTATATAATAGATAATCAATCACTTAAATATTGGCGTCGTTAAACTAGATAATGAGTATATATCAGTTTATATTGTTTAATTTTCTAATTAATAATATATTATAGTTTATAAAATCTATTGTTTTTATTATACATTATATCTGTATAATCCTAATGCCATGTTTGTAGGATTGAAGTTCATTTTTATTGCATTCAACATTTTATTCATGTTTAATGTGTATACAATTTGTATAATACAAATATAAAACAAGTAATTACTAGGAATTTATAATGATTTAAACTTTGCTACAAACTTATAAGTACTTTATAAAAAAAATTACAACAATATTAGTACACAAGTTAGACATGTAATAAATGTAATAAATTTGTTTGACAATATGTTTTGTAGAGTACACTATTTTATATAGTATGCATTATATACGGTAGCATATCTATGATTGACAGATAATTGAAATTATAACAAATCAAAATTCAAAGTTTTATTATTGATTTTGATTATTTTATAATTCATAAACTAAATAGTCATATGATTTATATAATAGACTATATAATATAAATAGCATATATTATAATATTAAATAGTAAATCCTAATATTTATTAATGCGAATACAGTAAAAGTGCCTTGCTACTTAAACTTGTATAACATTATTATTGTTGATGTTATTGTTGTAATGAAATTTAATTATTTTGCTAAAATTATATTATCTATAAGTTTTCTAAAAACAAATTTATTTTGGATTTATTGTGAATTGTAAATAAATTAGTTATATAAGTAATAATATTTTACGATAAACAATATAACTATAATTTCATTTTATAAAACATTTCTGATTAAGTTGAAAAAGTTATATAAATTATTTAATACGTGTGTTAATCAAAATATATAATACTGGCGCAAATAAAAAGTATTATTTGGACCGCTGTCACAGCGGTCACAATACTGGTGCTCTGGTCATCAACAATAGGTTATACTTTTTTTTAGTTTAATATGTAAATGATTTGTAATATTTAAATTACAATTAAATCAAATGTTATTAATTTTCTTATATAATTTTTTAGTATTGATGATTAAAAATATTTTTTTTCTATCTAATATTTAGTCAATGCCGACGAAAAATGCTATACCGATGAATGTATATTAACAGGTGGGTGGATATCATTATATTGATTCATAATTTTGTTATATCAGTTTAATTATATGCTTTATCAATATTAATAATAATAATAATAATAATATAACATCCAATTGAATAATTATTTAATTTATCATAATCATATATTGGTTTTCTAATTAAATGTTGACACTATCATAAATAGCTGGCTACCTGTCCAGTTCAATGGACTTTAATGTAAATCCATGCAATGATTTCTATCAGTTTGCATGTGGTAAATGGCAACAGGATCATCCATTTCCTAAATATGAAAACGGTTGGAACTCATTCAAAAAGCTCATGTATGCCATGAGGACTGACATGAGAAGTATGACCTTTTTATTAATTAATTATTACATTAATTATTTCATTTATATTTTATATTGAAAATATTTTTCAAATTTTTTTCAATAGAAATATTAGACAATCAACCAATTGAAGGCATTTCACAGATTAAGCCTAAAGCAATGCAAAACATATACAAATTTTATAAATCATGCATTAATTCAGGTATATATATATATATATATAAATTAATAATATAATATTTTTTATTTTTTATTAATTAATTTTTTTATATTGTATTAATTTTTTTATATTGGATTAATTAATTTTTTCTATGTAACATTATTTAATTGTAATTAACATTACTTTGAATTTGTATTACACATATAGCTGAACGCGATGCTCATGGTTTTACATCATTGATCAAGGTGATTGAATCAATTGGTGGATGGCCAAGTGCTGATGTTAATTGGCGTGAGAGCCAATTAAATGTACAGGATGCATTTATCAAATTGATCATGCTTAATCTTATGGAAGGGGCTTCAAACTTACCGCTTATTGACATTCAAGTGGTTAAAGATTTTAAAAACACGTCAAACAATATTGTTTATGTGAGTAGTAATTAATTTTGGAGATTAGTTTCAAATTATAGATTATAAAAAAATAATATTAAAATTTATATGAAAAACAATTAATTATTAATTAGAAATACTGTTTCAATTAAATATAAACAAATTTTTTTTTAAATGACAAATATATCAGATAAATAAATCCTATTTTAATTAAATGTAATCCTAATTTAAGTGAATAGTATTGTAATAAAAGATAAACTACGAAACAATATAATCAAAAACATAAATATCTCGAAAGCTATTCATATAATACTATTAGAGCTTATATTTAAAAAAAACTTTTTTTAGTAATTAGATTAATTATTTTTTGTTTTGATTTTTATATCTTTAAAAAATATTTTGTATCATCAATTTTATATACTGCAATACAGTATATTTTTTTTATTACAATTACATTTTAGAATATTATTTAATTAAAAACTAATATTACATATTATCACTTACCACTTAACATCAGTTAATATTATAGATACAAAAAATATAATTATATAGATTAATATAATAAATTATTCATATATATATAATACTAATAGATTGGACCAATTTATTCATCATCAGATAGCTCTGAGCTATACACCAGTACTATATATCCATCAATAAAACTTAACAAAAACAATCACAAAACTTCACAACAATTTAATTATTTAGAAATTCACAAATTGAATGACATTAATAGTAATGCCGACGATAGGATTATCAAACAAATTAAATATATTTATGGCGATAAACACCCGATCAATGAGACAACAATATCTGCAGATAACACAGCTATCGGACAATTGGTGGCCACTCTTAGCAAAGAAAAATCGCCGCCAAAAGCTATTGACTACTGGCTTCAAAACTATACACAAATTGTTTATACTGTCGATGAATTACATTTGATATCTAGTTATTTGAATTATGAAACAATTGTACGACAATTGGTGCCCAGTATTAGATACGACGATAAAGTTATTATACCTGATATAAATTTTGCGCAAAAATTTGCACAGATTTTGATTGAAACTGATAAACGGTATTATCAATAAATGTTTTATTTTTAAACATTAGTAATGTTATTAAAATTTACTGTATATAGAACTGTATCTAATTTATTTACACTGAGCTTGGTCAATTATCTTATTGAATATACAACTACCGGAGCCATAAATGAGTTTACTGATGAAAAATTGGATTCACCAGAAATTTTGCCTAATATTTGTTATGAAACACTTGAGAACCTAATGCCCGATCTATTGGGTCGACTATATATTAGCAAACTTTATGAGAACCGTTCGCATAGCGATATGACACAAGTTATCGATAAAATACATAAGTCTTTCATCGATACAGTCGGTCAAACACAATGGATGGATAGTTATACACGAAATGAGGCCATACTTAAGGCTACCGATATATCCCATCACATCGCTTATCCTAATTGGACAATGAATGACTATCTCATTGATCCGTACTATAAAAAGGTATACTACACTATATTGTCTAATTATTTAACAATTTCTACATTTTTTTAGTAGATTTATTATAAATTAATATTTATGTGATATATTTAAATTGCAAATTATAGTACAGCAATATATCAATTGACAATTTCTTTTCATCGGTGATCAGTCTATTAGATGGCAAACAGAGACAAACTTTTGATGACATTCATGGCATAGGATATTCGGTATCACAGCCTATGTATAGTTTTTCATTATTATATATTTATAATTAAAATTATTAATTATTACTAAATAAATTTATTTTATTTTATTAATTTTTTATATTATAATAAATATTTTTTATTATTGTTTAAAATTTATATTTACTTTCATAGTATACCAGACTACTGGCCATCTAACAGTGCAACTAAAGTGGGAGCATTTTATCATTTTCAAAATAATGCCATTTGTAAGTTATATTTTGTTTAAGTTTTAAAAATATATTGATTAATTGTATAGTGTATTAATATTATAAATATTAAATGTAAATATATATTATTTATTTAGTGTATATTAATTCTAAAGTTATATAATAGTAAAACATAATATATTGTAGTGTATTTGAGTGAATTAAAAGAGTAATTTTTATAATTGATATGTTTTTAATATATATATAGCACTTTAAAAATTATTAAACTAATATTTTATAATGTAATTATATTTAAATTAGCTTAAGTTTATATTTTCAAATAATTAATCTATTCAAATAATTTAAATAAGCAACTATTAAACTTATTTATAGTATATTTAATCAATGTTAAAAATTTTAACTTAATGATTCATTGTTTCTATTTCATTATTTTTTAACTAGTTTAAGATATAAGCTCTATTTTTAGCATTACACCATATATTTAATATATTATATATTAATGTAATTATATTACATAATAAATATATTAACTATAAAAATAATAATAAATTAATTGCCATATTTAACATATCATTTATGTTTGTCTTATTCTTTAAGCAAGTCTTTATATATTTTTAAAAATTTATACCTATAACAAAAAAAAAACATAAAACACTTTATTTAAACTAATCTTTTAATAAAGTGTAATAAACTGATTAATTTAATTTGAATAATTATATAGTATAGCATTTTATATCTAATAGAAATCTTTATTATAAAACCAAAAAGTAACACATTTATACAGAAATACTTTCTTTAATTTATTATCTTTTTTAGCAAACTTTTTTCAAACAGTATTTTTTATAAATTGCCATTTTAAATGTATTTTTGTTATTATTTTAAAGATCCTATATTATATAAAATAATAATTGAATAATTATGAAATCTTATTTTTAGTAATATTTAATGTTATTTCAAATATAAAATTTCAAGATTAATTTTATATATTATTTGAAATTTAGTTTAACTTCAAAGTATATAATGTATCAAAGAAATACTAGTATTATATTTAATTATTTTATAAATTATCTACAAAATATAATTTTAAGAAAATCTAGAATTTATATAATATAATAATAATAATAATAATAATAATACACACATTGTTAAGGTTATTATATTTCATTATTTTTAAAAATATTATATTTCATTATTATTATTCACTATGATGTATTATACTTAGAGATGGGCAAATAGAAAGTTTCTAATAAATTTCTATAGAAATTTAACTTTATCGTTATACTATGGGATCCCCATATCTATAGTTATTGTAATATTATAGATATAATATTATATTATAGATATAATATTATATTATAGATATAATATTATATTATACAGTATAGTACAGTACTATACAAATGTGATACCTATATATAAAATAATTATAATTATTTAATAATAATTAATTTTGTAAAATTGTATTCATCATTTTATTATACATATCATACTGTAGTTTAATTAATTAATTTTTTACTTTAATTAATAATTAAAATAATAATAATAATATTTACGGTAATGTATTATTATATGATAGCAATATAGAGATAACAAAATTAAAATGGGAATCCCATAGATAAAAATTTCTTTTAGAAACTTTCTAGAAATTTCTCTATTATTTTATAAATTTCTCTTTTTTGCCAACACTAATTATAGTGTATATCTAATATATAATATATAGTATAAACGTATATGAAGTAATTTAAAATTCAAACATCTAATTGCATTGTAATACACTAATAATACAGTATATATATTTTTATTATTTAACAAAAAAATAAATAATGATAAAACAAAATAAGTAATTTATTATTAAAATGAAATAACAAATTTTAAAAATAAATTTCATAACACGTCTTGTAATTTAATATAACATTACTTTAATGGATTTTATGTCAAAGTAAATTATAGTTTTTAATAAAAAAAAATGCATTTTATTTTGTTATAATTAAAATATTATTTTGCTTTTAGCTTAGTTTCAATAAAGCACTGAATTTAATAAATTTATTCACAAAAATTTTCTATAGTATTTTAATTACTCATTAATTTAATTTATTTATAAAATAATTTGTTATACCTATTATATGTAAAAATTTATAAAATTAAATCTTCTGGAAAAATATCTTTTAGAAATTGTCTAATTTTTATAATTACATTATTAATATATAAAATTTGAATAACTATATCTTTACAATAGATAATTAATGATTGTAATATAATAAATAATTAATAATTAATGAATATAATATAAATTGTAGATTTTCCAGCTGGTATTGCCCAATATCCATTTTATTTATTAGATAGACCAATGTAAGTAAACAATTATTATTATCATTATTATTGGAAATAATCATATTTTTTTGTACTAATATTAATATTTAAAATTAACATTATATATTGTCACATTTAGGACAATGAATCTAGGTTCAATTGGAATGATAATTGCACATGAAATGACACATGCACTTGATATTCAAGGTTAGATTATATATTTTTTATTGTTTTTTTATATATATAAAAATATTAATTTGATATTTATATTTGATATTAAAGGAAGTTATTATAATTATAAGGGAGACTTAAAAAATTGGTGGACAGACACATCACGTAATATGTTTGAAGATAAAACTAAATGTTTTATTAAACAATATAATTCATTTAAATACCCGGATTTGAATATGACGGTACTTTAACTATCTTTTTTAAAAAATATAATATTAATAATAATAAATATACAATTAATAATATCTTTCATCTCTTATAAACATTTTATCTATAATAAGTCACTACTGATAGATATACTGTACAATAAAAAAATAACTCTTTTTTTAACTTGAAAACTATATATTTTTAAAAATTATCTCAATTTATTATTGTTAAGGTTAATGGAGAGCTGACATTAAACGAAAATATTGCCGATAATGGAGGCATTCGTATAGCATATAAAGTAAGTATTGATTTAAATATCAATAGGCTTTAGGGAAACATAAATTAAATAATAATATATATCAGGCACTCAAACACTATCAACGAATCCGACCAGATAGTCATAAATTTAAATCATTGCCCGGTGCTCTCAATGTCTACAACGAGGATCAGTTATTTTTCATATCATTTGCTAATGTATGAATATTTAATATTTTACATATAATACATTTAATATAATTTATTAATCATTATTTTTTTAATAACTTATTTTATATATGTTTGTATGTAGATGTGGTGTTCAAACATATTGCCCGATGCTCTGAAAGATAGCCTAAATAGGGATAAGCATTCACCAGAACCGGTACGTGTGAACGGATCACTCGCCAACTTTGAAGAGTTTGCACAGACATTCAATTGTAAGTCAACTGACAAAATGTCGAGACAGCCAATGGACAGATGTCTGGTCTGGTAATTCATATTCAAGTCAACTGTGCATTACATATACAGTACACTAACAAAATATAATAATATATTAATAGATTATTAAAGCAATTAATGAGATATAAATTATATCATATAATTATACACATTATTATATTTGACAAATTGCTATGTGTATGATATAATAATGTTAATAAATTGTTGGTATTAAATCTCAAATATTATTTTATTTTTATATATTATTAATATTTAAAATATATGTATTATATATTTATTATTTAAATATTTTTAAATTATTTATTATTTATATAAGTATATTTATATTATATGGTTAATATACATTTTTATTATTATATTAAATTAAATAGATATAATAGTAATTAAGTAGTTCTATTAAATTTAGTTAATTATAATTTTAATTAAACAGATACTAATTATATTACAATAATTAATATCTTATTTACATAATAATAGACAAAATATTTATTTTAAAAATATCAATTATCCTATAAAATAATTTTTTAAATAAAATTTTATAAATATTTTCAACAATTTATTTATTTTATATAACATTTTATTATTAAGCTAACAATTCAAATTATTATAAAAGTATCTTTAAATTAATTAATTAATTAATTGTTTTCACAAATAACAGTGAGATTCATATCTAAATCAAAATTATACTGATATTATTGTGTTAACCATTGATTATATTTTGTCCATTTATTTAATGAATTCCAAGTTATATCCCTATTGTGTAATAAGAAATGATTATTTTAATATAAAAACAGTTATAAATAACTTTATCATTAATAAATATGATATTATTTTTTAAATAATATCAATTATATTTTATATATTTATTAGGAAATTCTTATTTATTCTGCAAATACATTAATAATATAATAATAATAATATTGTTATTGTAATATAAATACTAATATTACCACAACTTGTTTTGTAGGCTAATATTGATTGCATCGACCGATGGCTGTTCCTGAGCCGAGTCCTCCAGATATGTGCCACTAATTCCTATCATTTCCTTAGACAGTATCGCATATATTGTTGTTTCTGCCCCTTCTTTAGGAGTCTATTTATTAAATAATAATTATTATATTAAATAATATTAACAAAAATGAAATAATTAATTAATAGTTAAAAAACACAATAAATAAATAAAAGTAAAATAGTTTATTAAAGATTGATAGACTTTTTTCTGTTTACTTATTAAACTAATTCTAAAGAAATAAATTATTTATCAATTGTAATGTGTTTCTTGCATTTATAGAAATTTTCTTTATAATATATTTTTGAATAATTCTTAAATTAATAAAAACTATTTTTTTTAATAAAAACATACCCGACATGCTTGTGCTGCCATAGGTCTTAAGGTTTCAACCATAGGAAAGTGGTCTAAAAAAGTGGTGTCACACATACCCGGATGTAAACTATTTAGAGTAATCCGTGACCGCCAATCATCTCCTCTATCAGCTAACCATTTGGTCATACGATTGGTAAACATAATTTGATACAACTTCGATGTACTGTATGTAACAATAAGTGAATTTTTAGTATTATTAGTTTCAATGGTATTAACATTTGTAAGCATCCGATGAATGCCAGCCGAAACCATTACTATACGAGATTCACTGTCAGATTGTTTGGCTGTTCGGTACATATTATCAATAAAATGGTCGATAAGTAGACAATGACTCAGATAATTGACAGCAATGTGCTCTTCAAAGCCATCGTCGGTTAACTTTATATTTTTATTTACAGCCCCAGCATTTGCAATGAAATAGTTGAGTGAAAGCTTACTTTCTTCAAATTGTTTGGTAAACTTGACGACTGAATCCATTGATTTAAGATCTAAGTGCCAGATATCTAGTCGTCCTCTACTATCTGTATTCACTTCAGACATAATCTGTTCGTACCGTTTGTTACGCTCCGATTCACTTGTCTTTGACGATCCAGTGATCACATGACATCCCTTACGCAATAATATCTTAACTACTTCGGCACCAATACCACGGGTACCACCAGTAATAACACACACTTTACCCGTGAGGTCGGATTCCAAATCTGGATCCGTTTCCTTCAATATTCTAAGTTTTGTATTTTTATTGAATTTACGATCCAGTTCTTTGAACACATAAGAACTCAATGACAATGTGTTTTGAATAGTTGTCCAATAATTAGACATATAATTCATTGCATTTATCATTGTTTTAAATATTTATGTAATTATATGTTTCAACAAAAATAAATTATAAAATATTTTTTAAATACTATTAATATTTCATATATTTATAATCAATTAAAATAATTAATATTTAGAGTATTGTAATATAAATAGCATAGAATTGTGACATAAATTCCTAATTTATACAATTTTTTGTGGAACGGATGTTTAAACCTAAATTTAATTATAATTTTTAATATTTATTTTTTCCTTAAAATTTTTATATTCTACATTATAAAGCTATATAAAAAAATATTTGTGTAAGATAAAAAATAAAATTAATACAATATAAATAACTATATTATTTTTAATTATGTTACCAGGTAATTGTAATTAATTTATAAAATTATACCAATACATATTTTTTGTAATATATCAATAGCATAATTTATTTATTGGTAATTATAAGAAAAATTAAATATTTTATAAATTATGCAAATCATAAATTTAATTTAATTAATTATGCTTTATTTATATTTTAATTTTTTATCTATTTATTTCAATAAATTTTGTTATAAAACAGAAAAAAATTTAGTTAAAATTAGCAAGCATTATATATTTGATTAAATATTTTATTACCGGTATAATATAGATATACTGTATATGTAGTATATTATATATAACAAAATAAACAAATTAATTAGATTATACAAAATTATTAACAACATATAAAATATATGTTATTTCAAAATACTATTAATAAAACACTTGATTAATAGCAATTATAAAAACAAATAACTTAATCTTGTAACTTTTATAATATATATTTTATTTTATTTATATATAAAATGATTTTGTAATTAAAATGCTATAAATTTTATAAAAATATTACAAAATCTAAAACAAAAATATATTTATAATTTCATCAACTATATTTTAGTTAGACACATTAAAAGATAAAAATAATATAATAATAATTATAAAAGTTATTATAAAAACAATTTTTACACAATTTTTATAAATACTAAGTCATCATTTTTAATTTATTTTTCTTTGTAGTTGAGTTTATTAATAAATTTATATTACAATAAAGTTATATTCTTTAATTATAATTTTAGCAATAAAAAATTATATATTTTATAAAATATTTTGTTATATAGCTAACAGAGCATACTGTATATAATAAAAATAAATTTCATATTAATTACTAATTTATTTATATATAAAATAATATTCGTTAAAAGTGAGAAACATTTTATTATTAAGCTAACAATTTAAATTATCATAAAAGTATTTTTAAATTAATTAATTAATTGTCTTAACAAACAACAGTGAGATTCATATCTAAATCACAATTATACTGAGATTATTGTGTTAGCCATTGATTATATTTTGTCCATTTATTTAATGAATTCCAAGTTATATCCCTATTTAAATTACACAAAAACATGTTATTAATATGCATTTATAGAATTTTGATATTACAATGTCCAAAAAATAAATTTAAATTAATATAATACAGTAATTATAAATCATAATAATTACTATAAATAATTGACATAAAAGTTATTAATATATATTATATATTATTGTTTTGTAAATAATATTGAGTATATTTTATGTATTTATCAGAAAATTCTTGTATTAATAATATTCTTATAGTTCTAATATAATAATATTACCACAACTTGTTTTGTAGGCTAATATTGATTGCATCGACTGATGGCTGTTCCTGAGCCGAGTCCTCCAGATATTTGCCACTAATTCCCATCATTTCCTTAGACAGTATCGCATATATTGTTGTTTCTGCACCTTCTTTAGGAGTCTATATATATATATATATATATATCAATATAAACAAAACATATTATTATTATATACTATATTATAAAAAATGAATGAATGAATAGTAAAAAAGAAATCAAATGAATGAATGAGAGAGAAAATTGTTAAAAATTCATTAACGGTTCACTAAATAAACATAAATAAGGAAATTATTTTTATGTTATATTTTAATACAAATAATAAGAGAATAGGATAAATATAAGTGAATTATTACTAATTTACCAAGTATAAATTATATATATATATATATATATAGTTGACTTATAACAGTGACATTTTAATGAATGTTGTGGTGACTAACTTATAATATAATTTATATTAATGTTTATTATTAATTTGTTTACTAAGAAAACTGACTATTAATACAATAAATTTCTTTCTTTCAATTGTCATTTTATCAATAGTTTTTGTATTGGTTTTGTGAATAATTTCCTCTTATTTCTTATAATATATATTTTAATAAAATTTTTATAAAACGATTTATTATTAATGAAATTTTATTTCTGAATAATTTTTAAGTATAATAAAAAAATTAATTATTTATTTATTATTATTATAATATATTATATTTTTATAATAAATAATAAATCATTAATCATTAAAAGAGTTTTTTAGATGTTTTACTTTAATAAATAATTTAAATTTATATCGTTATAGGGTTAAGAAATTTCCACATATTCTTGACATTATTATATCTACAATAGTAATAAATCAATAATATTATAATTTGATATTTACAAAATTTATTATAATAGAAATGTCTAAATTTTAGACTCTAAAATAATAATATGATATATTAAAATATAATATATAAATATCCAAATAAATAATAATAATCTTGATATTTGTGTTCTTATTTTATTAATCTTATTAAATATAGACTTATATAGAAATATATTTTTAGCAAACATATATTTAGCAGGCATATTACAATATCTATTATTTAATATTTACTTTATTATGTTAATGGGTACTTAATCAAAATATAGTTCAATTTAAACTGTAGACAATGTCTATTATATACTTTTATACTGTATGTCTAATATAAGTTATATAACGTAAGACTTACAGTAATAATATTAAAGTAAAAATATAATACCGTTCCGCTTAAGGCATAGTTTTAGATTATTTTGTTATTTTCATTTAATAATATTAGTAGTTAATCAATAATATTTCATACTGATATAAATGTTTAATAAAAATAATTTAATGTATAAGAAAATATACGACACGTGTATATAYRGTTATAATAATAATACAATTATCATAATTATCTTATTTTATCAGTTTTATTAATTTATTAAACATTAAATGTAAAATATAAATATTGATACCTTTTTAAAAATGTTGACTTAAACTTTTTTTTATATTATTATTATTATTAAAATGACTAAAATATATAAAAATCAAGACATACCCGACATGCTTGTGCAGCCATAGGTCTTAAGACTTCAATCATAGGAAAGTGGTCTAATAGCTGAGTGTCACACATACCCGGATGTAAACTATTGAAAGTAATCCGTGACCGCCAATCATCTCCTTTATTAGCTAACCATTTAGTCATACGATTGGTAAACATAATTTGATACAACTTTGATATACTGTAGGCAATGATAGGCATATTCTTAGTATTATTAGTTTCAATAACGTTAAGATTGGACACCGCCCGGTGTGCACCAGAGGATACCATTACTATACGAGATTCACTACCAGATTGTTTGGCTGTTCGGTACATGTTATCAATAAAATGATCTATAAGTAGACAATGACTCAGATAATTGACAGCAATATGATCTTCAAAGCCATCGTCGGTTAATTTCATAGTTGTATTTACAACACCAGCGTTTGCAATGAAATAGTTGAGTGAAAGCTTACTTTCTTCAAATTGTTTGGCAAACTTGACGACTGAATCCATTGATTTAAGATCTAAGTGCCAGATATCTAGTCGTCCTCTGCTATCTGTATTCACTTCAGACATAATCTGTTCGTACCGTTTGTTACGCTCCGATTCACTTGTCTTTGACGATCCAGTGATCACATGACATCCCTTACGCAATAATGTCTTGACTACTTCGACACCGAGACCACGGCTGCCTCCAGTAATAACACATACTTTACCTGTGAGGTCGGCTTCTAAATCTGAATCCGTTTCTTTTAAAAGTCTGATTTTTGTATTTTTATTGTATTTACGATCCAACTCTTTGAACACATAGGGACTTAATGTCCACGTGCTTTGCATAGTTGTCCAATAACTGGACATATAATTCATTACATCCATCATCGCTTTGAATACTTATACGATTATAATTATATAAAAATTATTAATTTTTAAATGCTATCACTAATTATTCATAATTAATTAAAAATACACACAAATAGTCACTATTTAATATAAATTATTGTAAAAAAGTATTGTAAAAAATATTGAGAATATTAAATTGTGTAATAAAAATCATTCAATTTATATAAATAAAACATTTTTTGGGAACGGATGCCAAAACCTAAATCTAAATATAAAATTTTTAAATATACAAAATTTATTTCCTTTTACTATTATAGTTAAATTATATATCAAAATAATTATTCATAAAATAATTGTGTTATTAGCTATTAATTATATTATTGTAAAGTAATTTAACGTTAATTTTTTTATTTAAAATATATATACAGGTATTATAATTATGATAATTACAGTAATATTAAAACTTTAACAATGTTAATTTAATAAGCATTATGTAATATTTTAATAAAAATTATTTTATATAAACATTTTATATATTTTTCATATAGAATATTGAAATATATAAGTCCACAATTTCTATAATATAGGATAAATTATAAAATTATCTATAAATACAAAATACATTACAAATACTTCACTAATCGCACTTAAATATAGATCATATAAATTATGTATTTCGTAAATTAAATTTATTTAAATTAGTTTCATTTATATTTTAAAACTTTTACCGATATATCGTATTTTATGATAATGATGAAAAAGTTAAAAAAAATATATATATATATTAAATTATTGTAAAGTTTACATTAGGTTTATGTTTGATCAAATAGTATATATATATATATTATTGTCAATAACAAAAAAACAAATGATTAAATTATCGCAAAATTATTAACATTAATTTAATTATAAAAATAAATCATCACAATTATTTAAGTAAATATTTTTTAAAAACTTCAACATTGGTTTAATGATAATTTAACAAAAACTAGAAATAATGAGTATCAATATTATCACTTTTGATTATTATTATTATTATTATTATTATTATTATCATCAGCTGAATAGGCAATCAATTGTCTTAGTTTAACATAATCTGGTTGTTCATCAAACTTATAGTTACGACATTCGAGTAGATATTTGGCAAAGTTTTGTGGCATATCTAACATTCAATTATAATAATCTTATTATAAATATTGTAAAACAAATGTAAAATTAAAAAATATAATCAATTAAATTAATCAAATAATACCATCGCATATCTCATCAATTGATAGTTGATTGACACGATTGCCAACAAGTCTGACATAGTCTTTGAATTGTCCATCACATCTCTTAATATCACTCCACGGCAATGATCCTCTCAATAGATATATCCAACAATACAATAGTGACTCCATGTCGTCCCTTCGCGAACGGCGGACACCATTGTGATAGTTGAGTGAGTGAAACAATGGCAAACCATTCGGCAATCGGCCTTCTGTGCGTTTGTAGCCGCGATGTCGTCCATTATTTTCAATATAACGGCGAGATTTGTTAAAGTCTATAATATATACTTTGCTGGAATCGGCTGACAGTACAAAGTTGTCCGGTTTGATGCCTCGATGAATAATACCGCACTGATGGACATCGCATAGTATGTCTATCTGTTGTATGGCTATCGGAATGAGCTGTTCCAACGACAGCTTGTGTTTCGTATATCTACCGCATGTCTTGGAAAAGATATTATCAAACTTTTCGATGACAATCATTTTTAATTCAACAGTTGGCCAACTGTACAGTTAATAACAAATATTAGACATAATAACTAATTCTTTTTAATCAATTGATCCATTACTTACATTTTGTAATCAATAAGTTTGGGAACTCCCGAAACGTCAACCAATTTCTTATAATAGACCAATTCGTTTCCCAATTTTGTTGATTCGCTTCGTTTACCGATTTTGGTCACAAATTTTTGTTCGCAAAACATATTGTGATGACAGACAAATACACGACAGTTATGGCTTGCTTTTAGACAATCTTCGAGTACATAGTCGTTGATGATATCGCCACTAATCGGCGGAAAATCAGGAATCGGTTGCTGTTGTCGTGTCGGCAATGATGACACTGTTTCGTCGTCCCAATTGTCGTCATTTGCATTTGCAGTGATTGCCATCAAAAGAGATTACCACTTCTGAGATAATTGCTATCACAAAATAGATGAGTATATCAACAACAAAAAAGTCTTTGGATTAACTAAAAGTGATAATTGAAAACTTGTGTCAAAACAAACTTTTTTTTAACAATCAATGTTTAAGTCATTCACTGATGTATTAATAATACCAATAGTGACACACAGTGTTCGGTAACCAATGGCAACCAATACATACAAACAGTGAATACAATGGCGGACAACATTGTGGTCAACAAGTGATGGAAATGTAAGTGAAATACGATGGGTGTGTCAGTGATCATCAATTGCTTAGTAAATCAATTGTTGTGATCATCAACAGTGACCAAAACTTTTTGGCCGTCAATATTTGAAGTGATCAGCAAAAATAGTACAAAAAAATGTCTGCACATCAACAGCAGGAAGTGATCGAAAGGGTGACACTTAGCGATGCCTTAAGCAATGTCGACGTCTTGGATGAGCTCGAGTTACCCGACTCTCAGCCATGTATTGCCGGTTAGTTGTTGTCCACAGTGACGATCCACCGATTGAGTTGTCATTGACGTGATTTTGAATGGTTTGTCAATTTTTGTAATGTCTTTGACAGGCGAAAACTGGTCGGTCGTCTATCACGTGAATTTCGACACCAATTTCGAGGACAGAAATGCATTTGTCTGCGGTGTCGCCAAATATATCGAAGAGGCGACAGTCCAGTGCCATCTGAATGTTATGTTAGATGAAGGTATGTCCACAAAAAAAAATCAATTTACCGGCTTTTGTAAAGACTACTCCTAATAATGATTATTTGATTGACAGGTGAATCTCATGCCGTAATGCTATATACGTGGCGGTGCTGTTCGAGAGCTATACCTCAACCAAAGTCTAATGAACAACCAAATCGAGTGGAGATATACGAGAAAACTGTGGAAGTGTTGGGACCCGAAGTGGACAAACTGTTGGCATTCATGTATTTTCAGAGGAATGCCATCGAAAGGTTTTGCACAGAAGTTCGGCGACTCTGTCATACATCCAATGTGAACTCCATGTCTGCCGACGGCTCTCAAAAGAAATCTAACGCCACTTTTGTTTCCGAAGCATATCTATTGACATTAGGTTTGTATTTTTTTCTTCAGTAACTGATTTATTTATCAAATGAGATAATAATAATTGGACACTGATTTATAGGCAAATTTATCAATATGTTTGCCGTATTGGATGAGCTCAAAAACATGAAGTCTTCCGTTAAGAACGACTACGCGACCTACCGGCGCGCCGCACAGTTTCTCAAAGTGTTATCCGATTCCCAATCACTACAGGAATCGCAAAATTTATCGATGTTTTTGGCGATGCAGAACAAGATTAGAGATACACTGAAAGAATCACTCGAAAAGATACCCGGATATGAGGAACTATTCTGTGATATTGTCTCACTATTTACCACAATGTATGAGAACAAACTCTATGTGCTTCCGTCGGAAAAGCATTTGTTGGTTAAAGTTATCGGTTTTGCCCTATTTTTGATGGACGGAAAGGCCTGCAATATTAACAAATTGGACACTAAAAAGCGTATTAATTTGGCCAGAATTGATAAGATATTTAAATCACTCGAAATGGTACCACTATTCGGTGATATGCAGATCGCGCCATTCCAGACGTATATAAAAAAGTCGGCCCATTACGACCAGACTAGATGGCCGCTCAGTTCCAATTTGACTACCAATTCACCGCAAGCCGATATACTACAGTATTTACCGGGGATTCGTGAAGAGTATGTTGGGTTCATATCGGAACTATCGCGTCATTCAAATGAAGTGACGACTACTATTAAGGAGACGCCCCGAACTGATTCGGAAAATAAACAGTTATTACAATTGGCGCTCAAAGGTATTCAATTATTGTCCGACTGGACGACACACGTCACAGAACTATATTCATGGAAATTGATGCACCCGACTGATCACCACCAAAACAAACAGTGCCCTATGGAAGCCGAAGAGTACGAACGGGCCACTCGTTATAACTATAACGACGAAGAAAAGACAGCACTCATTGAGCTCATAGCTATGGTTAAAGGCTTACAAGTTCTGATGAATCGTATGGAAACAGTGTTTACTGATGCAATCAGAAGATCCATTTACGCCGAACTTCAAGATTTTGTTCAGGTGACACTTCGGGAACCATTAAGAAAAGCCGTCAAAAATAAGAAAGATGTGGTCAGAACTATGATATCATCGGTTAGAGATACCTGTGCTGACTATATGAAGGGATTTGAGGATCCCTTACTTAGAGGTAAATGATTGCAATAAAGTTTTATCGGTAAATGTTTAGTTTATAGAGAATACAATGTTTCAAAAATATTAACTTATTAGGAGGTAAAGCCTTGACCCAAGATATTGAAGTAAAAGTCCCCCGAAGAAATGTGGGGCCCTCCACAACACAGTTGTATATGGTTAGGACACAACTGGAATCTTTAATAAGCGACAAAGCATTGTCTGGACGGCGAACATTGCGAAAAGATATCGATGGCCACTACTTGCTTGCCATCGATCAGTTCCATAAGAACTCGTTTTACTGGTCATATCTCATAAATTTTAGCCGTAATTATTACATTTGTTTTAATTTGATTACGATATTTACAATTATTTTTTATTTAATGATTTATACTTTTTTGTGTGTAATTAACAGAAACATTACGTGAATGCTGTGATCTGTCTCAGCTCTGGTACCGTGAGTTTTACTTAGAGATGACAATGGGAAAGAAAATACAGGTATTTTTATGTCACTAAAATAATTAGTTATATATTTATCGGTATTTTACCGGTAAATATTTTGTTGTATCCGTAAATTGTGAAGTCATTGTTACTTTATGTATGTGTTTGTTTGTGTATAAAAATTTTGGTGTAAAATCTACCGTAAAATTTCATTAGTTCACAAAAAGATAATTTATTTTATTTATAATAGTGTACAGCAAAACACGTTCACACGGACTTATGTAAAGATATCATATCATTGGAAAAGCGAACACAGGTTTATAAGATATTTTTAAATGTTATGGTTATTGGGTTTTTTCAAACTAACAAATATAATATACCGTAATTTAATTTAAAAATTAATAACATATATTATAACTTATTTATTTTGGATTATTTTAATGCATGTGTGAATGCGCTATGAATGTATGGTTAAATTTACTGTACTTATACTTATATTATGAAAATTCATTTATAAAATTATAATTTATTTTTCAAAATATTAGTTCCCAATTGAAATGTCATTGCCATGGATTCTAACCGATCAGATTCTTAAGACAAAAGATTCATCACTAATGGAGTAATTGATAATTGAATTATAAAAATATAAAGTTGTGATTGTATTTAAAAACTAATTCTTATTTATTTTATCAATATTTATCGTAGATGTGTATTATATCCATTGGATTTATACAACGATTCAGCACACTATGCATTAACCAAATTCAAAAAACAATTTCTTTACGATGAGGTCGAAGCCGAAGTTAATCTATGTTTCGATCAGTTTGTGTACAAATTATCGGAACAATTATTTGCTTACTATAAACATTTGGCCGGAAGTATACTTTTGGATAAACGATTTCGATCGGAAGCGGCCGCACTAAATATAAAATTTATGTGGCCTCAGGCCAACCGATACGAAACATTGTTAAAACAGCGACACTTTCAACTGTTAGGCCGAACCATCGATTTGAATCGTTTAATAGCTCAGCGTCTGAATGTTGCAATGTTAAAGAGCTTAGAGTTGGCCATCAGTCGCTTCGAGGGATCAGATTTGACCGCAATTATTGAATTGGAAACATTAATTAGTTTGAATAAATTTGCTCACAAATTATTGTGTAAACACATTGATTTAGGTATTGTTTGCTTATAATTTTGTGTTAATAAATATTTATGTATTTTTAATAACTATATTTATATATATTGTTAGATCCGTTTGACGCACTGTTTCGTGAGGCCAACCATAATGTTTCGGCACCTTATGGCAGAATAACACTTCATGTATTCTGGGAATTGAATTATGATTTTCTGCAAAGATATTGTTTTAATTCATCGACACAACGATTTATCCGAATGCCCGATAGAGCACCCAATTTGACCCCACATTTAAATAACATTCAACGGGAGCGCCAATCACCCCACCCACAGGCCCAACTGCCCTACTATTTATACGGCACAAAAGCACTCAATATAGCGTACAGCAATATATTTGCACTTTTCAGTGGTTTTATAGGTGCCCCTCATTTTCGATCAATTTGTCAACTGTTGGGTTATCAGGGAATTGCTGTCGTTATCGAAGAGTTGCTTAAAATTATCAAAAGCTTACTCCAGGGAACCATTGCTCAGTACGTAAAGACACTGATGACTGTAATGCCAAAATTATGCAAATTACCACTCTATGATTATGGCTCTACTGGTGTACTTGAGTACTATCAGGCACAGCTCCGGGATGTCATACAGTATCCGGATGTCAAGACAGAAATGTTCCAAAATTTTCGTGAAATTGGAAACGCTTTGCTTTTTTGTTTATTAATTGAACAAGCACTGGTAGGTTGCGCTATAAATAAGTTGAGTTGGATATATTAAATTATCGGTAATTGTTTTGGTGATACAGGCTCAAGAGGAGGTCTGCGATTTGTTACAGGCGGCACCCTTTCAGAATATATTGCCTCGACTTTACTGTAAGGACGGCGAGAAACCTGAGACCAAACTTAAACGATTAGAAGCCAAATACACGCCCTTACAGGTGGTGCCAAATATTGAAAGACTAGGAACTCCTAAAGTATGCCTAATGTGTTTAGTTAACAGAATTAATGAGATATTTAATATATAATCTGATTTGTGGTTATATAGCAAGCATCCATTGCTCGTGAAGGTGACCTATTGACCAAAGAGAGATTGTGTTGCGGTTTATCCATATTTGAGACAATATTACAGCGAATTAGAGGATTTATGTTAGAAAACGAAGATCAGGCGTCAATATGGATCGGCTCTAACCGAATGCCACCTCCTAATGGTGTCATATATGTTGATGAATGTATTGAATTTCACCGTTTGTGGTCAGCCCTACAATTTGTATATTGCATTCCCGTCGGTGACGGAGAATTTACTATTGAAGAGTTGTTTGGCGAAGGACTCAACTGGTCTGGTGTTACAATGATTGCACTATTGGGTCAACACAAGCGTTTTGAAGCACTTGACTTTAGCTATCATTTATTGAAAGTTCAAAGAGTCGATGGCAAGGATGAGATTGTCAGAGGAATTGTTAGTAGTTTTGCATATAATGTCTTCAGATAACTACCAGTAAGTCCTAATTGTTTTCACTTTTTTTATTTAGCCATTGAAACGAATGGTAGATCGGGTGCGACGCTTTCAAGTGCTCAACTCACAGATATTTTCAATTTTGGGTAAATACCTGAGCAATGCCAGCGGTGATATCAATACTGTAGAACACGTCAAATGTTTTCAGCCACCCATACATCCAGTGATGGCTGCCGTACAGGGTATGAATAACACAGTTAGACTGTATATCATGATATTTAATGTTTTATATGATAATTGTTTTATTTTATAGCAAACGCTGCGCCTATTTATATGAGAGCTGCGATACTATTACAACAACAACAACATCAACAGCGACAACAACAGCAGCAACAGTGAGCTGCAAATGATTATTAGATATAAAAATAATTTTTGTATAATTATTAATGTTTTAATTATTATTATATTTGGCATACTTTATGTTTTTATTATATTTTTATTAATTTATAATATCATTGAATTAAATTCTTAATTATTTATTTTTGTTAAATACAACTAATTTTAGCTTTAAAATAATTATTAATATTTTTTTAATACTTAAAATCATTTATTTGTTTTCTCAAACTTATGGTATATATTTTGTTGCAAACTATTGCTTATTATAATATTAATTTCAAATTTATTTAGTTTTTTTGCTTTAATGCATTTATTTATTTAATTTTGTGATCAAAAAATACGGTAATTTTCCAAAAAAAATACTAATTTTGTTTATCAAAATGATATTCCAATTGTTTGTCTATTACTTAAAATTATTGTACAAATGAATCTTAATTTATTGAATACTTTATATCTAAATGCTTACCGGTATCTAATTGTATGCGTTTAAAAAAAAATAATTATTTATTTAATTTTTAATATTTTTATACGATTGTAGAAAAAATGACTTTGTATAACATTTGTAAATTTTTTATATAATATAACTTTTTTATTTTTATTACGTAAACAGTTGCCAAAATTTTGCTCTTATTTGTAGTATTTATTAAAAAAAAGTTTTTGATATTAATATTATTGATAAATTGTTTTAATTAATAAATTAATTAATAAATGACAATTTTTACTAATTAATTATAATAATAATATAATACACTTTCCTAAGCTTTATATAACTTTTTTTGTAAATACAATATGATTGCAAATTATGACAATAAAATTATTAACAAAAATCCAAAATAAATTTAATGACAAATAGCTTTGCAAACGCATGCATGCAATGCATTTTGAATGTTAATTATTTTTTTGATAAGTTATTTGAATCGGTATTTTATATGACAAGCGAGAAACAGGAGTACATAAAAGCCTTCAAATTGTTTTGTTTTTATTTTTATAATATCATAATTAATAGGAGGATGTGATGTGAAAGGCATGACATATACTGTATTATATTATAGAAACATTTAGTACTCATCTGATTCACCAGTTTTACAATTAATTTCATTGACATTGGAAAAAACAAAAACTATAATTTTTATTTTATTTATTATTAATTAATTATTGATTGCTTCCTCCGATTATTAACACTAATGTCATTAAAATAGATGAAACAAATTTATATGGAATACTCAGTACTAATATAACAACAAAAAAGTGTTTTTGAATTTTATCATTAAATAATTAATATTATATTTATGTAAAATCATGATAAAAACATTAATTATACAGAATATTGTGTCATAAATTATGATGGGATGAAAATATAAATTTTTAGTCACTCATAACTTTTTAGTTGTTTTCACAATTTTAATAAAATTTACAGTAAGTTTTTGCTTACTTTTATGGTTGAAAACACTTATCAATCACTAAACTAGTGATAATGTGAACGATAGGCCATCGTTTCGCTGATACCACTGATCAGCTTGGTCACCACATATGCACTGGTATTTTTTAGCTACCAGTGCTGTAAGCGATACGGGAGGTCGGCAGGGGTTGAGTGGACATGTGTTATAGTTTGTGAACTTTTTTATTACTTAATTCACATATCAGTAATATATATATATATATTTATATTTAAATTGTTATAAAAATGTCTAATGTTTTCAAAAAATATATATCTAAATAGCTTCGCCAACATAACTAGCCCTTTAAGGGCTAGTTTGGCAAACATTTTAATTATTAATTAGCGATAAATAAGTACTGGGAATACATGTTTTACTATTTTGTTGGTCATTCATAAGATTAATATTTTTAATTTTGCATTTTTCAATATAAAAACTCTCTAAAAAATATCTTGATCTTTTATTTTTTTCATTATAAATAATATTCGGATAATCAAAGTTAATGTTATGACTAGTTAATCTAACATGGTCAGCTACATTAGTTACATTAGCTACATAATAATTATATAAAAAGTAATGTAGCTGACCATGTTAGATTAACTAGTCATAACATTAACTTTGATTATCCGAATATTATTTATAATGAAAAAAATAAAAGATCAAGATATTTTTTAGAGAGTTTTTATATTGAAAAATGCAAAATTAAAAATATTAATCTTATGAATGACCAACAAAATAGTAAAACATGTATTCCCAGTACTTATTTATCGCTAATTAATAATTAAAATGTTTGCCAAACTAGCCCTTAAAGGGCTAGTTATGTTGGCGAAGCTATTTAGATATATATTTTTTGAAAACATTAGACATTTTTATAACAATTTAAATATAAATATATATATATATATTACTGATATGTGAATTAAGTAATAAAAAAGTTCACAAACTATAACACATGTCCACTCAACCCCTGCCGACCTCCCGTATCGCTTACAGCACTGGTAGCTAAAAAATACCAGTGCATATGTGGTGACCAAGCTGATCAGTGGTATCAGCGAAACGATGGCCTATCGTTCACATTATCACTAGTTTAGTGATTGATAAGTGTTTTCAACCATAAAAGTAAGCAAAAACTTACTGTAAATTTTATTAATTTTTAGTCATTTATTTTATCAAAAATTAATAAATAATATTTAGATTACATGATAGTTACACATTAGACAGAATTAAGTATAATTAATACTGTATTTTGTAAAAAATGAGTAAAAAATTGTTGCGGTTTTAAATTATGCTTTAGCACCCATATCCCGATTTCTGTAGATACGTCCCGGATTTAGACGACCAGTATTTCCTCGCGATTGGTTTGGGTCTATCATTGTGACGTCGGGATCATTAAACTCCGGACCCATCGGACCTAATGGTCTATTCGGATCAGCTCCGGGTTGAGGTTGAGGTTGTGGCTGTGGTTGACTTGGTGTGTGACTTCCGATTCCTGGATAATAACTGTCGGGAACGTGTCCACCGCCGCCACCGATTCCTGGCTGATATCCAGGATGTCCTCCGCTGCCACCAAATCCTGGCTGATATCCTGGATATCCACCGCCGCCGCCGATTCCTGGCTGATATCCTGGATGTCCACCGAAAGTTGGATAAAAGCCCATTGGATTTCCTCCACCAACACTCGGATGGTGACCACCGGGTTGATGACCACCATAGCTGGGTACAAATCGAGGTTGATAGCCAGGATACGATGGATTGGCCGGTCGACTGCCCGGATAATGGAAACCACGTCCCGCGGGATACGGGTTTTGTGGAACTAAGAATGAGAAAGTGGGAATACTTGAACTCGGGAACATTGCAAAAGAACCCGAACCCGGGCTATAGCGGGCCGGGAATAGAGTACTGGGTTGTTGAGGGACGGACGGAACAGACGGCCAGCTGAATGATGGCCAATTGGCAGTGTTGGTCGGTAGGAAACGGCCCCAATTACCCCAATTGGGATTCTCCCAGTAGTTCGGGAAAGAGCTGGTCGGATAGGTTGACGTAAATGTGAATATTGTCGGTCGAGAAGTGGTAACTGTCGGCACTGTCACCGGTGGAAGCGATGGCGGTGTTGGTCGTGTGACGGGTGGCAGTGGTGGTGGTGTATGGCTGTGAGGTGTTGTACTCTCGATCTCTCGCGGAGTACTCTTTGGTGGCACAAGAGGTTTGTCGTCATCCGAGTCGCCCTCGCGTTCAATCTTTTCTGTTTCTCTATTGATCTCTAAGTCCTCTTTAAACGGTTCGACTATAGTGTCATCTTTTATTGGTTGGTCTTCATTTACAGGTTTGTCCTCATTTTTAACTACAGGCTCCTCATTAATCGGCTGTTCCTCTTTGCTTTCGGGAACTTCATTGCTAACAGCATCACTATTAGTAACGGGAACAGGAGTTGTAGTGATTACGGTGATTGTATTAGCACCGGTATCTTGTGGTGCTTCAGTGTTACTAATACTGTCTCCCCAGTCATCAAATGTTCGGCTATTACTGTCCTCATCGATGGCTCTCTTTATTAAATATATTGACTGATTCATAGAAAATAAAATATTTAGAAAATAATTTGCTTTTCATAAAATTCTAGCAAACCTTAAGTGATTTATCAGGTCTTAAATTGATGGTCACAACAGAGTTGACCACAAAAAGTGATACTAAAATCTAAATATAACACAAAATTTCAATTAAAAATATTTATTAAATACTAAAAATAATTTATATATCAAAAAATAATTAAAATCAAAATTTAAAATAAATAAAAATATTTATACAATTTGTAAGTTGAGATACATTTTATTTTTGTTAAGAACTTCTCACTTCTCTGAAGATCGTAACAGCAATGAAGAGTCTTAAGAGGGAGAGGTAGAGGATAGTCAACACAAGAGCACAGGTATGCTATGCTTAACTGCTCTCTTATCTCAAGAATGAAAGAACTTCAAGAATACACTATAAATATATATATAAATAAAAATATATTGAAAACTTCACTCTACTATTAATTTTGTTATCAATTATTTTTGGTTGTTATGAAATTCAAGTTTTATTTATAGATTAGTGAGAAAACAGTTTGACTGTCAATGAGATAGAGAGAGGAGTGTTTGGTTCTCATAGGACTATATATTCAGTGCTGAATGACTGGTCTTTACTTTCAGATCGTCAGCATTTCTCTTCTTATTCATCATCACATTGACTATCGAGAGTAAAATCATTCATTCAATGACTTTTATGCCCCGAAGCTATTTATATGCTCTCTCTCTCTCTTTCTCTTTCATTCACACACACACACACACACACACACACCTTACTCATAGCTATGATACAAATTTAACAAAACCTATATATTCTTCATATACAGTACTGTGTGTACTATATATAACTATTTATTTAGTTATATTTTACAGAAAATAGGTACCGAAATAAAAGTAAATTTTTTATTATTATTCAGTTGACTATTTTTTTTTTGATTATAAGTTCATTGGCAATAGCATTGGCCGACCAAATGATGCCAAAACGTGACTTATACTTAAATATTACAATTATAGTCTTACAGTACTTCAATAACTCGTTATTTACAGTATAGTAAAAGTCAAGAATCGTATTAAACAATCATTAATTGATATGTTTGAAGGGTAAACACCCTTTGAACCTCTGCTCTGCTCTCTCTCTCTCTCTCTCTCTCTCTCTCTCTCTCTCTCTCTCTCTCTCTCTCTCTCTCTCTCACTCACTCACTGCTTGAATGCCTCCTTCCCATCAATTGTTAGTTAAATCTATTGTGAATTTTATATAATTGATCAAGTTAATTGACCTGGATGTGATTTTTAAATATTAACAGTGCCTACACTTTATACCATTTTTATATAATAAATTTTTCACAATAGACTTTTAGACATTAAATTAAATTTTTATTTATTCTACTGATAAAGGTTTTTAAATATATCATCATATTTTCTTAACTTTAATAGAAATACTGTATTAAGGGATAGTCATCTTTATCCCTGACCCTCACATACTCATCCACTCTATCAAAAAAACTCTCCCACTTTCGTACATAACATATCCAACTCCACCTAACGCTATAATACTATCCATTCATACAATTATTTAAGGGCGAGTATTACTATTTAAAACAACTAAATTAAAATATTCGGTAATTTTTAATGAAAATTAGTATTTATTCAAAAGAAATTATTAGTAATAAATCAAAAATTTTCTTTGTTTTTAAATTTAAAAAAAATATTTAAAAAAATATCATACATCAATAGAAGTTGTCAATAATAAAATATTGATAGAAAGTGTTAACAAAAAAAACATTATATTATATAAAAATACATATTTTAAAAAGTCGTTGAAACATTTTTATACACTTAAACATACTAACCTACACATTACATACAACTATAACAATATAATAATAACTCATATTTCATATAAATGATTAATTTCAAAAATAAATCAAAATGCAAATATTTTTAACTTAATGGTTAACATCAAAAAGTTTTTTAAACAAAAGATTTTGTGATATATATATATATATAAATACTATTGGATTAGACTAGAGCTGAATCATAGGCACCCACTCCATGGGCTCTTTTGGCATCGGTGTGTTCACATATATTGACCGCACATTTTTTACATCATCGTACTCGTAACTACTGTCCTCAATAGGGCTAACAAAACCATTATTTGCGTTATCATTGGTGAAGATATTGGTGTCATTGTAATTGCAATTGTTGACAACTGTAGTCATAAACTTAACTGTAACTGCTTTCTCGCCACTGGACGACATATCTACATAACTGTCCCCAACTGTTTGCACGTTTATTGCGCCAAAATTTTGGTTATTCTCACCCATTGGCAGGTATTCATCCATACGTTCCGAGTCTTCGCAATTACTATCACTGCTATAGCTTTGAACAAGATTTTCATAAATCTATTCAAATATAAGATATAAATATTAATACAAAAAATAGATTTTTATTCAAAAAAAAAACCTTTAAGTGAATTTCACTCATCATTTGTTTTAAATCATTAGAAAGTGATGTAAAATCAGGCCTTCCTTTTGGCTCAAACTCCCAACAGTTTTTCATTAATGTATAACTAATTTAAAGAAAATTAATTATTTTATCAAATTTATCACATTTTTTTAAAAAGTTGTGTACATTTTAAGCGGAGAATAGTCTGGTCTTTCCATACGATATCCATCAACCAATCGTTTATAGAAATGTTCGTCAATTTCAAATCCCGGGTAAGGATTGGATCCCAATGTGAAGATTTCCCACATGAAGACACCAAAAGACCAAACATCAGACTTTTCATTATAGACTTTGTCGCGCATCGACTCTATTGCCTGATATGGAAAAAAGTTAATTAATTAGAAAATTGTAAAAAAATTGATGGGTAAGCATACCATCCATTTGATAGGTAGGGGTCCGTCGCCTTTCTTAACATAGCTGTCATATCCATAGCAATCTCGAGCCAAACCAAAGTCGCAGATCTTAACAATATGTTGTCCGGTTAGCAACACATTTCTGGCCGCCAGATCTCGATGTATGAGCTAAAGGTGCAAACATTTTAATTGATAAAACAATTTATTTTTTAAATTAAATAATTATTTGCTAACCCTTTTTGATGATAAATACTCCATTCCTTTAGCGCATTGAAAAGCATAACTAATTAAATCACTTGTCGTCACGTTATTGCCCACAACTAATCCCATTTCTAGAAATTATTTATTTATGTGTATATAGTTAATGAAATTCATTATTAAATTAAACAAAACTAACTAAACTAACAAACCATTAAATGAGATAACATTTTTATATTCATGTGAAGCGTTAGGATAAACGCTATTTCGGTAATTATCGGTACTATCGCTAAGTCGTTGTTCATTACTTATAATTGTGTTATCAATTATATCACTTTCTTTGTCCAATTGGTCCACAAAACACATGCGATGAGACAACAGAAAAGACCTGATATTACCAAACTTGCAATACTCAACAATGACCAGTAGTTCCCCTTTAACCAAATTTTTGGTCACAGCGCCCAACAGGTTCACTATATTGATATGCTTTCCTATGTGTATCAGTATCTTAAGCTCAGCTAATAGTGCTTTCCTTTGGCCCATATCTGCGCACTCTTTCAATGTTTTGACGGCAACTGTAGTTGATTTTGTCGTTTTCTTTTGATTACCGTTACCACCATCGGTCAGCTCAAGGATACCGATAGCCTCAGCTCTAATCACTTTATTGTTTATAATAGACGTTTGGTTATACATAAAAATTAATAACATTTGTTTGTTGTTGAAGACATACCTCTACCAAAAGCTCCCTGTCCAAGAATCTGACCAAATTCAAGATTATCAATGGGAAACTCACATCTGGAATCGTATGGCAACAAATCTATTTGTTCATCCAGTGGTAAATCTGGATTAATTAAATCAATTTGACCCCGGCTAAATAAATTATAACTTAAATATTCCAATTCTCTTTTTTCACGCTATAATTTTAAAAAAATGTAAATATATTTTTTGAATAAAACACATTTATCGTGAAAATTATTTTTTTGTTTCAATATTAATATAAAACTATTAACCCGGTAAAGTCTAATTTTGTTGCCAATGATAAATGCTAATGCAAGAAAACAGGTACCCGTAATAATTATAAGTAAAATTGTTAGAAATGGTGTATTATCTATACGAAAAAAATGTTTTTCAGTCAATTAATAATAACCACATTTGTTTCAAAAATAATTAAAATGTTAATTACCACAATAAATCACTAAATCAATAGTCGTGTTTTGATACAATATGTTCAATAAGTTTGCTTCAATGGTGTAGTTTCCTGAATCACTTTCCTTGATATTAGTTAAAGTAATTGTTGCCAATTCTGGTGTATCACGAGATATACGAGCGCTGGAACTATTGGTTATGAGTTCGCCGTTTTTAAACCATTTAATGTCGACAGCATTTATATCATTGGGTACTGACTCTAGATTCACATATAATGTCAACCTATCTCCACATATAATCTCCCCCATAGAGTGCGATTGGATTTCAAGTTTAGGTGCGTCTGAATTTAAATACAAAATTAATTTGAGACGTTTTGAAAAATTAATTATAAATTTGTATAATTGTGTGAATACCATAGATTTTTATCAATTTAGACACTTTCTGTATATTACCGGCCAAATCATGTGCTTCACACGTATAGATTCCCCAATCAGTATGAGTAGCATTGGTTATAGTGATCTCATCGGTCAATTCAATTATACCGAAAGTAATTAAATCTTTATATTGATTTGCCGTAAGCCTATCCCTCCAATCCTGTTTAAAATAGTAAATAWATATATATATATATATATATATATATATATATATATATATATATATATATATATCAATAAATTCTAATATAACTTAAATGTAGATATTATAATAGGAAATAATAATTTTAATATATAAAGTAAAATTACCGATATATGACTTATGAAAAATATATACAATATAAGTACATGAATTAATTAGCATTAGTACAGTATAATAATATATGATATACAGTATACCTGAGTACAGACATCATTAAGGTTCCACTTGAGGTCAGTCAGACACGAATCCGATACTCTTATACTACATTTTATTGTGTAATTGTCGCCAACAAACACATACCTAACACTTGACTCCTCCAACAACGGGTCGTGGGTTATACCGCCTGACAATTTGTCAGACATTTAAAATTAATTATTACAATTTAGTAACTGTTTTAAATAGTAAATTATTATTATTATTATTATAAATCAATACATACAAACAAAATGTAGAGTTATGTTTAGTAAGCTAACTGTAGTATTGTTAAGTTTAGCCATACATCTATATCTTTCTCTATGAATTAGTTTTACATGAAATCCTGTTTTTGGATCATATGAAACACCAGTGCTATCATTAACTGGCATTATGTTATAAATGCCTGAAAAATGATCATTAGGTGGAGTCCAAAGGGTTACTTCTGATAATGAACTGGACGGTCGACACGGTATGACAAGTGCACTGTTATTAATGGCCGGTAATATTGGATAAAGTACCAAATGACCAACAAATAAATTGTGTGGATCTGTTTAATATTTGTATAAAATAGTAATATACAATAAGTTACTTAAATAGTGTATAAAAAATTATATTAAAAATATTTTTTTCCAATACCGGTGACAAAAACATATATTGAATTTGTCTTATTGTGGACCAAACGGTGACTGTATTTGACTAATGAAGTATTATAATGACATGAATAATAACCGACATCCTCTACAACTGTCTCATCGATGGTCAGTTGGCTAATATGTCGATTGCCGACAATTATTGTCTCAATTTTAACAAACTCTGGTGGGTTTGTCGGGAAAATACTGCTGCCATACATAGGAATTAATCCTTGAACTGTCTATTTTTTAATTATTATTTTTTCAATAATATTAAATATATTAGTATATCAATAGTTTAATATAGAAACAGAAAAAAATATATAAATATGATTTGTAATTATTTCCTATAAATACTGTATAATACCGGCTGTGAATTAGGAAGTATCCAAACAACTGGTTCACTGCCCTCACACTTGAGCCGTAGCGCGTGGTTTACCTTAATGTCAATATAGTCATCACCGGTGACCAACAGATCCGTCTTTGAGATTACAGTAACATTGGGTACCGACACTTGAAACCGATCGCAATCATCGTACTGAGCCTTAACACTGATGAGCAAACAATTTAACAGTAATATTGATAATAAACACATGTATCTGATTGTGAAAAACATTTTTACTAAAACATCGGAACCACAATATTGTCGCTTTAAAAATATCGAAAAAAAATATTTTTTATTATTGTATATTTAAAATAGTTTAGTCTAATGCATAGGAATACTAAAATTATAAATAACTAACTTTTAAAATTGTTATAAATTTTGTTTGTAAACTCAATAGGGAAGTGATGACGATTTGAAAGATATGGTTTACATTTTTATAATTATTAAATCAAATATTAAAATCATATGTTTAATAGTTATTTTTGTTATATTGTGTATTAAACAACTATCTAAAAAAATTATCTCGAATTTCAATAAATGAAATTTCATTTTTATTAATATTATCAAATCAATTGGCAAATGAATTTTTATTAACATTATTAATACAATTACTATATTATAAATATTTTTTTGTTAATGTTTATATATATAATAGATATTTCTATTAACTTATTATAATAATTTTTAAAATATAATCAATTATTAGTCATCTAGATAACTATGATATTAAAAATAAAAAGTTTATATAACTCTAAAAACTTAAACAACAATTTTATCATTAAACATATTATAATCAATTAACATAAATATTATATAACATGTATATTTTTATATCAAATTATATGTTTAAAGTACTATATATTGATTATAAACAGTTCAGTGACAACTAACATGATATTTATAACATTCATTAAATGATTATTTATTTTTTAATAAAAGTAAAATAATTATTTTTAATAAAATATCATTAAATATCATATCATAAATGAGATATTTATAGATATTTATTAAGAGTATACATAAATTGTACATAATTTATTATAAGTATTAACTAATAAAAAGTGCAAATTTTAAGATTATTTCAAACATATATAATACAGTATACTTAAAAAATAAATCAAAAAATTAAATATTTAAAAATAAATTAAATATTTATCAAAATAAATGTAAATATTTATTTTTTGATATATTTGTGTAGATTAACATTATACAGTACTGTACAACATAAAAATATCAGTAAATTATTTCTAAATTATTGTAATTTTTTAATTGAAAAAACTAAAATTACTATCTTATTTATAATTTAACACTTAAGTCAAAAAAAATTAATTAAACAATTTATTTTACATTTATTTTACAATTTATTATTCACAGTATAATTTATAATTTAGTCATACAATAATGACCATGATACTTTTTTATACAGTATAAAATGTTTATCATATCTCATCCTAAAATTTTAAATTAAGCAATATATTTATTTAATTGATTACATTATGATTATTATTTATTTAAATTTAATTTTAAATTTTATTGGTTTACATTAAATCTCTTAAATACTAATTTTGTATTAAAATATTTTTAAGCCATAATTTAAACATTATTTAGTAAGCGATCGGTTTTGTTATCTCTAGACTTCAATCAACACATTGTCTCCCATTTGAATACAAATCAAATTTGACTGTATTGTAGACACTGAGCGTTCAATTGGTACTAATTGTCATAAGCAATACAATACACATATAGCTTACACTGTGTTAGCAACAAAAGTACCAAAAGCTGGAAACCAAAATCGAGTCAATCATTTTTTTAGCATTTTTTGAAAATTCAGTACTTTTTTAGTTATTGATTGCATTTAAGTTAGCATTTAATCGGTTTTTTCATAGTGACCACTGGCCACACATTATCGCATTCAACCGCTGATATGGCTTTGTATGAACAATCTAAAGACTATCCAATTGATGGTTGGGTTGAAGTGTTGGCCAACAACGGCGGTCATTACAGAGCACGTGTTGTTGATGTGATTGATAGGTCGGATCCGTGTGTATGCGACCCGTCGGTGTCACGAATGCCGATGGATGTGACACAAGTGATTGTCTGCTACGACTCGAGCTGTTCATCTGAAGTATTCCCGATAAGTCGTGTTCGGTTACCGCCGGCCGAAACAACACCCGATGAATCTAAACTAATGAAGGACTTTGCCGAAGGCCAAGAAGTTGAAATATTGGCGCCGGAAGTTGAGGGCGACAAACATGAGGCCTATTGGCCGGCAGTTATTAAATTGAAGAAAGGTTTGGCTTTTTATTCAACAATTAGTTTTGAACCTAAAGTCAAAATGTTTTTGTTTTTAAAGGTGATGTCTATGTTGTCTCGTATGCGATAAGCGGCAAAAAAGAGGACGAAAAGACAGCCGAAGTCAATGACAATAATAGTTCACCGACAGTATCGCTGCCACAATTTGTTACCAATGAGAAGGTTCGGTCGGTTAATGCGAATCCTTACATAACTGCGAATCCATTTTTCAAGTTTGTGGTGATCGTACCGAATGAGTTGATCACCGATAAGATTACTTCGGGTTCGATACGCTTGAGTGAAACGCATCGACACTTTCGCAGCGCTCTATCACTTGTTAATGTTTACTATGCCGAACACATGACGGCACTGGTCTGTATCGGTTACGAACCGGCGGTTAAAGGTTACGCTTTTGAAATTACTAAAAAGCGGGCCTCAATGCTAGCCGACGATCACTTCAAGGCTGTGAAGTTGATCGCCGCAATGAAAGCGGAAAACGAGTCGATCATTACTCAGGTGAAGAGTATGGATGATGTGGTCCCACTCGACGGCAATCGATTTGAGGTTAATGTCAAAATTGAGGACCACCTGATCGGTGTTGCTATCGGTACTAAAGGCGCTTATTTGAAGCGTGTGTTGGCTCAACCGGGCGTACAATCTATCAATAATTATGACGGCATATTCAAAATTATCGGTGATTTATTTGACCATAATATCCATATATATATATATATATATATATATATATATATTAATCATTTAATTTGTTGTTTAATTTTCAGGTGATTCTCGAAAGGCATGTCTGACGGCTAAATCCATGCTTCAGATAATCGATTACTACTTTGATGTTCCGCGCAAATTGGTCGGCCATGTAATCGGAAAATCTGGTAACAGTGCTCAAGAACTGACCGACCGATCGGGACTGATATCTTGTAAGATTATAGGCGACGATTCGGAAGAATCCCCCAAAGAGTTTGTAAGCTTTTTGTTTACCGGAACCCGTGATGCCGTCGAAAATGCTTTACTATTACTCGAGTTTCAATTGACTGTTGTTAATGAATGTCTCGAAATGGAGAAACAGTTTGGAGGACAACGAAAACCTAAACGACACATAACTGCTAATTAAAAAAAAAACTGTTTTCAATTCAATCGATTCAGTCATAATTATAGAGTACTTTTTTGAGCCACTAATTCATATAAAAAATATAAATTAAATAAATTTTGCTTATTATAGTCTAACAATGTTATGACTACTTGTGATAATACAACATTGAAAATAATTGCCCTGGGCTAAATCAACCTGTTTACTTTTCTAGTGATTTATATTAAAATTTATATATTTTCTATAAATTAAAAAATGTTTGATTGATATATTCATATTATTCTAAATAATAAATAATTTGTTAATATTTGCTAATTAATTATATTTATTTATTTTTGAATTTTTTTTATATGCTTTATATTCTTTAACTATTCATTAAAATATTTCACAACAAAAGTAACCAAAACTAAATAATTAAATTAAAGTTATAAAATCATTAATTATTTTCTAATGTTAATTCGTTGTCTATCTACTGTAAATATGTTAGAAAATTGTGAAACTCATTAAATAGATGTATAAATATTTTATGTTTAATTTAGTCCCAAAATATTCTGTGAATCTAAATAATAAATTCGAGATTAATAGTTATGGAAATACAGTAACATTACTAAATACAATAGAAATGTATTTCAGTTTATAAATACTGTATAAATATAAATATATTTTTCTGAACAATGAAATGTAAAAGTGATATTCATAGTCATATTCGTCGATTTATTTTTTTAGTAAATAAATTTATTTTTTTAAAAGTTGAAATACATGAAATAGACTTTAATTTTGACCCAATTTTTCGTAAAATATTTATTTTTGAATAGTTTTAGTGAAAACATTTTTGTTGTGTAATCTATAAGAAAAAAGTTTTTATTATTGTTTGAATTGAATTATTAAGTAATAGTTATTCAATACTCATGAGGTTTGCATGGATTTTAGCGTCAGTTTTTTTTAAAGGTTAAGTATTATAAAGTAAATGTGAATTCAAAAATACACTTAAAAAGAATTGAACCAAAAAATCATGTTTTCCATTGAGAGTTCAAATTCCCATAAGTCTAGTGTCAATAATAATAAAAATTTCTATTAAATATATATATATATTAAAAGCTGTTTTATTTATATATACCGATAAATATTTTATACTAATAATTAATGTTTTGGGCTTTTAGTAAAAAAGCAAAGAATCGTGAATTTAGTAATCGACTAGTTTTTATTAGTTTTATCTTTTAGTATATTTTTATTAATTGATTAAAATATAGTAAAACTTATAATTTATTAAATTAACTTTATTAAATATACTATTTATATTTATTTTTATTAATTGGTATAATAGTTTAATAATGGTTTATCGTATAATTAAAATATTTGATATATAAATTAAATTTTTTATTTGTAATTAAATTTAATTTTTAAATAATTTTAAAAAACAAATTAACATTAATAGATAATTAAAATTTATAAATATCTATATTAACGTTAATTGCTAAAAATTTAAATTGTTATTTAAATGAATAATATAATAGCACTCAAAATATTCATTATTATAATTTATTACACTTGTATTATTAGGTAGCTATATAATTTCCTTAAAATCTGTGATTTACTTAAAAAAAAACTTTATTAAATTTAAATACTAATTACTTAGTTTTTTCTTTTTTATTTTCTTTTAAGTTTTATTATTATTATCATTATTTTTATTTTAAATGAATAATTATTTGCTATTCATTTATTATAATAAATAAATATCTTAGCTAATGAGATACTTTATATGATTATAAAATAAAAAACATAATGTTATTTATCATTATTACATAGAATAAAATTGCAAAATAATTTTTATAATAATGAGAAAACACTTTATTCAACAACAAAATATATAACGCATTGGTTTAAAATATATATTATATAATAACATTATTATATACAGTATTTTATACGTTATTCTGTATATACAGTATATATAATATTAATAAAACAAATTATACGGCAATTAAATTGATGGTTTGAATGATTGAAAAAATATAATGAAGAAATTGCTTTTAACATTAATATGTGTTTCAAATAATTTATAGATTTACTTATTCAATGTATTATAGAAAACAATATATTAATAATAATAAAATTTTATTTAATGTAATGTCAAAACGATTTTTTCTCTTTCTATATCTACTTATCTATTTTTATAATATATTTTCATTTTATTATCTATCAGTAATTTATTTTTATTAATAACTTAATATAACTATTTCATATTTAATTTATTGTTATAATTTTTTACTTTTCGACAATCAAATTGGACATACATGTATGATATAAATAGATATTATTAAATGTATTCAAAGTTCTGTAGTACATATCAATTGTCACAAAAAATAAATCAAAAAATAAAAATAACATTAGTCATCAAAATATTATCACTCACACACTTATTATGTTTGAATCAATCAAAATAATAGCAAAAATAAAAAATAAAAAAGTCTTACGGCAACTATATATATATATATATATATATGAGAGAGAGAGAGAGAGAGAGAGAGAGAGAGAGAGAGAGAGCCATAAGAGATATGACAGCTCTTCAAAAAATGAACAGATAATGAAAAGAGCCGGTGATGTGGTTGTTATGGAAACAACTTTCCCACTCTTATCTATCCTTTCCCTCGCACTCTGTATGGCTTTTCTATGGATTGCCAGAAATTGAGAGATATTCTTGTGTTTCGCACAGTTGTTGTGATATTCTGTGATTCTGTTGAGGCGACAGACTGTGTGTATGTGTACTCAATATAACTCTATTCACTCACTATATATATATACTGTATATATCATACGTGATATTGCTGTACAACTGACACAATATTGTGGTTATTGTATAGTATATACCAGTGCACTGTATATGTTGTATATACAGCAATATACGGAACCGGGAGAACAAATAATTGTGTGTTTTGTGCGGTGGGTTTTCTTTCAGATAAAAGATTGATTAAAACTAAACAAATATTATACTTTTTTTGTTATATTTGTTGTATTATAAATATATATACTGTATATATATTGTATTTATTAAAATGTGGGATTTACTTATCAAACTCGTTTAATAATATAACTTTAGTGTTGAAGTAATCAATCAACAATATTAATTATATAATCCAAGTTTACACAACAAGTTTTTTAAAAAAACAACAACAAATATGAAAACAATGGTCGAAGGAAAGAGTGATTTAAACAATACTAACAGGCCGTCCACGAGTACTACCGACCGTCCAAAGTCGGTACAAACTAAAACCGAGGACTCATTAAGTGTGGTCGGCGTTGAACTGATCGACTCGATGGCCACCAATCCGTTTGTCGATCGAGTATTCAAAGCGGCCATAACTATGGTTGTGTTTCTCTTATTGAGTGGACTGTTATGGTGTGTCAGCAAAATCAAGACCAATGTCAGTGATATACTCGAACAGATTGCTGTCACCGTATTTATTCTGACACTCGTTGTGTTTGCCGTTTCGGGACTGGTATTCATGTGCTCTATACTGCTTATCAGTACTAATGAGAGACATTATGTCAGCGCTACCGAAGCCAAAAATATAGTTAATAATAATATTGTCGATAATAATGTATAATTTGAAAAATATTAATATATTATTCTGTAAATAGGATATATGATATAAGTTTGGAAAAAAAAGTTTATTATGTTTGTATAGTTGAGTTATTTTCTAGTGAATAATTGATACATCAATTGATTGATTGATTACTATATTGAGAAGCCATACATTAACATCAGAGTCATGTAATTTTCGAAAATTACTTTTTATTGACTGTAATCATATATCGCAAAAATATTTTGTGTGTTTTGTGAGTCTATATCTAAAATAAAAACAGTATAACTTATAAATATATTGAAATATACGTTATATATAATATAATATATATATATATATATATAACTTATACTATAAATGTATTATTTGATTATTGTTATTGTTATTAGTCAATCAAATTGTCTTATGATTTCTGCAAAACAAACAAAATGTGTTACATATATTAATATTAATAATAATAATAATAATATATTCTAATTTTTTCAGGTAATGTTTTTTTGTGTTTTCAAAAATTGTAATATTGTATTTAAAAATATTAGAATAGTATATATTTGTAATGAAATTGTATTGAAAATATTTGTCAAAATGATATATTAATTAAAAAGTTCTAAAAAAATCAATTTGTATTTTAATTAATTATTATATTATATTATACATATTAATACATTTAATATTTTTTATTTAAGTTAAATTTGAAATAACTACATATAATAATATAAAATAATTAGTAATATTTTTAATCGTAATACCGTAAGTAACAAAATTTTAATCAATTTTATGTAACTTATTATTGATTATATAATTTACAGTATATATTGTAAAGTTAGCATAGGCTAACATAATGCGCTTAAATGGTTTGACTTTTGCAATTGCTGTACAATTTTTACAGTCAAAGTAAAATAGTGTCGGAGCTTATTATGTGAACTAATTATATGCTTTTATATATAAATAGTTATTACATATTGTTACTTATAAATATAAATATATATATATATATATATTGTGTTTTTACACTTAAAAAATCAATCAATCTCTCGTTAAAATTTCTTTTTATATATAGAAAAAATGTTTTGTTATTAGTTTTTATTTTATTAGTTTAAATCATTTGAACTGTCATATAAAATAAATTATATTATTATTATATATATAATTCTCATTTTATTAATTATCTTTTACAGATTTCTATATTATTAAATGATTGTCTTTGATTTGTGAGTAATTTAATATTAATTTTATTTACAAATATCTTGAAGTCATATTAACTATTTAGTCATTTATTGTATTGTTTGTTGAGTTTATCTATGAAAAAAACTATCTTAAACTTCTTAAGTATAATAATCTTAATTTTAGCACAAATATCTATAGATTATTTATTATTTTTATAAATCTATCAATTATTTGATATAATTTAGATACATTAGTGTGTCACTGATAACATTTATTGATAAATATCAAATCAACTAATATAATAAATAATGTAATGTACAGTAGTTATAATTTATGTGTCTAATATATCATAGGTAGAGATGGGCAAATAGAAATTTCTAATAAATAGATTTATATAATTTTATAAATTATATTTTTAGTTTAATATAATTA